TCAGCAAAAAAGTCTTCAAATTTCATCAAGGCTTATCTGAGGCAAAATTCAACACTCTACGGTTTAAGAAACACCCAAAAATTCACAGCAGAAGAGAGAGAGCGATGGTTCAATCCATACCGTAGATCTGACCTGGAACCAGTTTTACGAGTAGATGCACAATAGTATGTGAGGCAAGAGAAGTAACAGCATTTGAACAGTATATACGCACTTTGGCATCCTTGTAAAGTCAGACAAGGGGGTGAAAAATGCATGTTACAGACCTAACAATTGCCGTAAAATCAGATATAATAGGATGCCATGCCTGGTAAACATCAACAACTTCATCGCAGGTGAAGTGATAAGTTAATAAGCAAAGAGTAGAGATAAAGCGACATAAAATGGCGTAAATCCAAGACTGAAAGACTTCCACAGCATAGTTTATGAAGGTGTTGTGACGCTCGGCACAGACCTTTGGTTTACGACATCTACATCACTATGACTCAGTGATTGTGTTTTCGCCAGGTATCGAGTTCGAAGGGGGAGGTTGGGAATTGCATTGTATGTCTACTCGGGGGGAAGATCGATACCTAACCACAATCAAGTCGTCGTCACATTCTCACGACTAAAGCCTAAGCAACAAGCGCGTCAACTTCCGCCTTTGGCATGCGACAATTAAGTGAATAAAGGACTTGTTAAGTGAATAAAGGACTTGAGAACTTTTTCAAAGAGCAGGGAAAACTCTACAAAAATAGACCATTCATTCATGAGTTAGCATGCAGTTTAGCTTGAGAACACATCAAGAGCAATATTGCACCAATATCACAGAACATATCAGAAAAGTTGATGCCACAAGAGCAAAGGAAATGACAATCTAACCATGTCAAAATTCTTTCAAGAAAATAGTTTTTGGTGGTTTTTTTTTTCGACTGCCACTATGAAGGTACCTTGCAGCTTTTAGAGGCAACCTAAGCAGATGTGGATATCTCTAGGTTACCTAAATGGAGACTGATTAGGAGGCCCTAAGGAAGCCATTGCCCAAGTGACAGCTCATATGTTTCTTCGCGGCCGAAAAATACAGCCGCAAACCCTCGCCCATTACCGTACCCCCCAAACTAACGACATCTTTCGATACGGTAATGGGTGAGAGTCCTGAGTCGAATTCTTAGGCAGGGAATGAATATTATGAACTGCGACCCGGATAATAGCTTAGCTAAGTGTTACCACATAGGAAATGCAGATAGCGAGCTGCCTGATTTCTGCTTATGACTAGCCAGCGTTCAACACAGAATCCATAAAAGGAAGACCAAGGCACATAAGGCTATGACCAGACGGTCGCGAGTATGAATCACGCATATTGTGTGTGGTTTGTTTGTCCGATGCGCGAAGGCCATTCGCAAATGCGTCGAATAGCATCAGCAATTCACACAAGTGCTCTGACCAGTTCTATATCGGGTAATATCAAGAGGATGCACTAAGTGTCAAAGAGGGCGCTTCTAGCATTGCACACAAGAAAACTATTGCTTTTTATTGCATGTTCCAAGTCCGAGGCAAAAACACCAGGGTAAAAAACAGGACTAAGTGCAGATTTCACAAAAACAAGGACTCGGAAAACACTTCCTGCAGGGAATTCGGCACAATGTCTAGACTTCTCTCACACTTGAGATTTAAGATAACATCAAAAGTAGAAAAAGCGATGCAAATCAAGGGTAACTGAAGAGAACTGACTAAGAAATTGTCCCTGCGATGCTGACAACATTTGCGCGGAAGCAGAGAAAGCGCGTGCAGCGCACATCTTTGAACTCTGCGCCCGGAGCAATTATTTTCGCGCAAACGTTGGACGATCCCAGCGAGTAGACTGGGTGGAGCACTACGGACTTGCGGACTTGTCAACTACGCTGATGTTGTGAGATAAGGTAAATCATCGACTTCTAGCGTCTGCAATGCTCCGCCCAGTCTACTACTGGAAGCAGTGTCAAGTAGAGCAGAAGCACCATACTGACTTCTTAGAGTACACAAATGTACTCTAATATAACGAATGGAACGCCGATGGTTTGGTGATGAGATTGTGAATTCATTCTAAACAAGACAAATTTATCTATTAGCTTCGTCATTCTTTGCTGGATTACTTCTTCTGTGATTGCGCAGCGAATGCTGAATAGCGCTTTACCACAAAGCTAACCGCAGTCTTGAACCTAAAGACTAAAAATTAGCAATGCAGCTGATACAACTGATGCGGTGTCAATCTATCAAGATGAGACAGCGAGATGTGTGTAGATTTTAACAAAGCTAGACCAACTGGCAAAGAGAACATGGTCATTTTGAACCCTCTGCGGCATTCTTGAAGGCACCGTTCTCCCAAATTGAGATCAGATTTCGATTACGATAGAGGGATCCTTAATTAAGCAATCGCCCAACTCTGGTTCCAAAAAATGAGTCCCAAAGCGAGAAAACCATCCAGAAAGTGGAAGCGGCTACGCTTGCTCCGCCCATCAAAGTGCGTGGTCTGAAGATACAAGTCCGAAATTGGGCTTCAAGTAGACAAAAAAGTCGCAAAGTTAGTGATGCTGAAGGGGGTTATAACAACTCTGGATACTTGAGGCCCAAACTTGGACTTGTTACCTTCAGATCACCCAGTTCGATGAGCGGAGCCAGCATGTCGCTTCTTCCTTCTGGGGCGGTTTTCTCGCATTGAAGGTCAACTTTGGCAGCAAGAGTTGCGCGACTGCTTAGTTAGGGAGTCCGCTACTATACGAAACCAAAATCTCATCATCTTCAATCTGAGTGGACGGTGCCTTCAACGATTAGTGCATGGATGGCTTTTCAAATCAGGATATTAGAAAGCGGATAAGACATCGACTCCAATCAGCCACTTCCGAGAGGCTTAGCTGAATTGAATGGGATATTATGACGAGAAATAGAGATAGGAGATAACTAAAGCACATTCGCAAATGGACAAAATAACTTCGTAATTGAAACGCTGGTACATAACGAAATGCCGGCGCGACATCAGTTACACCACTCGAGCATGTTTCCGCCATGATGAGCTTGGTCTTTGGAACATTTTACGCAGCTAACTATGGACGAGAGGGTAGGGGAACGAACTCCGCCAGTTGAGCCTGCCTTCCCTAGCAAATGGTCCCTTTGCCATACTGCTGCGTGTCGTTGCAGGACCAGAAGTCCACAAAGGTGGCTCAAACTCTTACAAACAAAACCAGTAATCTTGCAAAAACGAAAAGATATGTCAAAAGAACATACCTCAGCTCTGCGAGAATAAAAATGGCATTGCTTCTCTATATGCAAACGGAAGGAATGCATCCTTCTAGCGCTGCAGTGAGTGATGGCTCTACTTCACGAGAGCGATGACTGTGAAAAATTATGAAAGCGGCTGTGAAAGAAAAAAAGACGAAAGAAGAACGAGTGGATCGCTTTATCAAAGGAAGTAGACAGAATAAGTCATCTAGATGGGCATACTTGGCAAATCGTTCATGTAATGAGTCAGTCAGTCATGGATGACCGCAAACGGGTATGGTTTTGCGGCAGAACCTGATCGTGCGTAACGCTTGAACATTGGTCATTGCGAGTGACACAATGGTTCAATGTTCACGGCGAGCTGGATTTGTGAGCTCGAAAGGGGATATAAATGCAAAAAAATTGAGTAAAATGTCAAATTACATGAGAAAAAATTACCCAAAGATGGAGGAGAAAGTTGAAAGGAAGATGAGCATGAACTCTAGATAAACAGCACATTACATTATGCTGTTTACTCAGAGTAAACAGTGAACAGTTCAACAGCCAACATTTGAGTTTAATTTCGCCCTTTTTTGCCACAAAACAGCAACATTTTTGCTGGCAAAAAAAAGAGGCATGGGCACCATCTGCGTGGATCGCATTAATTCAAGATTGATGATTGTAGTCATAGAGCGGTCACATTTAAGCTGAATCATCGCTTGCTTACTAATCCAGTCCGAAAAGTCAGACCCAAACTATATGATGTATTATTGCTGCGGTTGTATGAGTAACTGTATGCTTTCATTCTTTTGTAAGGTACGCACCATACTTGATCCGTTTAATCCGCTTGACCCACTTCATCTAATTCGCCATTGGTCGTTCACTGATTTGACCAACAGCGAGGTGGATGAAGCGGATAAAGCGGATCAAATGGAGCAAGTATGGCTTGTGCCTAAGAAACCAAGAGCGTATTCAATGAAATAAAATAAATAAAAATCTTTTTGCTAAAGAATTATAAACGCATACGAGAACAATAAAAAAACGAAAACAACGCACACGGAATTTGTGCGGAAATGCAAAAAGGACTAGAAATTGATGCGATCTGGTTCATAGTGATGCCAGAAGCCTTGGCGTTATGATTAAGAACATGACGTTAACAGCCTCAAAAAGCCCTGAGCGATAATATCACGTAGAAAAATTCCAAACTTCAAGACCACTACTCAAAGGAGAAAAATGAGAAACAATGGAGATATGACTCAATCAGATTGTTATAGCAAGGGGGAACCGATTCATTTGGTGAAATCGGAGAATCAAAAGATAAATTGTCCCGCAACAAAACTTGACAAAAATGGAATTATCAATCAGCTGTGAGAAAAGCTCGCGCGCGAGAAAATTCCCTCAAGCCTTCCGTTTGTCTTTTTCCGCTGCCTTTTTAAAGCATGGCAATCATTTCTGCACAAGAAATTCTCACAATGACAGCCAGCAAAAGCATGCCTATTCTTGGTGGGAAAACTTAGGACTTGAGAAAAAGAAGAAGCAATTCCAATGGGAGAAGTTGATGTTACAAAATATGTGATGCCATTAGCACAAAGGAAGAAAAATGACAAAATATGCGCGCAGGCATCTCACTTTTCATGAACTAAAGATGGATGGAAGAGTCTTTGCGGAAAATTCCATTCATTTTCACAAAAAAAACGAGAAGAAAACTCACATACAAGGAGAGACCAGCAAAACAAAAGTACGATTAAATGAAACTGATTTAAGAAATGTAGACGAAATCAGTAACTTACAGCCTCCTCGTCAAGTTCGTCAACTTCTTGTAGAGCATCATCGCCAACTACCGTAGATTCACCATCATCGTCAAATCCGTAGTCATCGGATAGATCTTTGAGCCGCACGGAGTCGAAGCTCAAACTCACGAGCGGCTTCCGCAACCGCTCCACCATCCCTTTGGGGGTCCTAAATCAATGCTAATAAATTCTGCATGCATGTTTACATCTGAGCAAAGACCGCTCGAAAAAACCGTAGGGAATAGGCAATGTATTGATTTCTGGACAACTACGTCAAGTTCTTTTTCTAGAACTTGTGACGCATTTGATTTATTGGCTAAAGAAGTATAAGAAAAAGTTCTGCTCGCGTTCTATGAACTATGCTGACACCTATTTAAGATGTTTATCTTACGCTAATCGAACTGATTGAATAGAAAGAGGATTAAGATAACAATATGCATCGGAAAAAAGGATCAAGACACATTCAAATGGTGAAAAAAATAGTAGAAAAAGTTACGTTCTCATTCACCTCTGAACAGCGTTTGCTGTTACCTAATCGAGATGTTTATCTAACGCTAATTGAATTGGTTGAAAAAGAAATGTGAGAACGGTAGTATAAACGAAAGAAAATAATCTAAACACGATCAAGTGATGAAAAGAAAATAGCAGAAACAAACCAGTTCTTCTTCTAGTCGTGAGAGGAGAGAAAATCGAATTCGCACAGATTTACCTACGCTGCAAAACCAATAAGTTTCTAATACAAAAAACAATATATAAGGGTAAACCAAGAAGAACAAGGAAAGAACCGCTATCAGTCAGTATACAACAATGTTGTTTGTTGAAACCAATGGTCATTTTTCCGCCAATTGCGTCAGGAATGGTGTAGTTACGACAACGTGGCAAAACAGGCTACGAAAAATTTGATTTGCTCTAGGAAGGGGGGGGGGGGCTTGTACGAATTAGCTTCGCTAGAAACCGCTTATATGACAAACCAACTGACAAAGAGACGGCTTCGAAGAAACGGAGAAAGAGTTAAAGCGATTTGCTGCAAGGTAAAAAAGAAAGAAGAAATAGCCCGATGATTTTTAGCTTTTGCAAAATTACTTTTGAAAGCATTTTTCGCATCTATCTAAAATCGAATACGCTGGTCTTGCGCTGGAGCAGAACAAACAATATTTTCATTCATTATCGAGCGTGCGCAATGGTATCAGTAGCGATAAAATCGACTTTGCCTAGCATAAATTACAGAATGAAATGATACGAGTTGTTTACGCGCTTCTATGCGTATGGCGTGCAGCTGCACTAACAAGCGCGCGCGTGTTTTGCCCTTTTAGGGAATGGGGGTATGTGCGCACAAATGTACGTTTTGGATCCATTGTCAAACTTTAAGGATTTGTTGCTTGGGTCGAAAGAAATCACTATGCTGGAAGCCAGATTCAAAGCCTACCAAAATGATTTTCATTCTGCTTGAATTACGAAGAATATGTCCACAAGATACGCTCTTAACTCGCACTACAATCAGAGAAATAGCGCAGATGGGAAAAATAGTGCCGTTGCGGCGCCGTCAACACTTGCTCGTGAAAAGTGCCTATGGAGCGCAAAACTTGAAATGCTGCGCTATGCGCGCATGTGTTTGAGAAGCAATAGAGAAAAGAGATCACTCGGCAGGAAATTGTTACAGTTGTCAGACTCAAAAATATTGGAGAAATGGTGGTACAGTGCAAATGCACTAGAACTGCCTGAAAGTTGGCGGCAAGTATGATTGCACCTGCACGACGTCGCAATTTATGGGTGTAGTAGAACATAATTCATTGTCTTCTACAAGTGGTAAGTGGATCACTCTCTATAGAAGAACCAAGAAATTTATTATTGTAATCGCAGATCTGAGTTATGCAATTTCACACATTAGTCGCCAGATGTATCATCTTGTCTATGACTAGGAGACGCGCGACCAGTTTCCTGCCGATCTCTTTTTTACTAGGTTTGTTTTCTTAACAGGTTTGAGTGTGTTCTTCCCTGTTTCCAAAGAGTGAGTAAACCTGGACGATATAAATAACAAGTATAAACCTGTTAAGTACACGATTAGGCTTGTTTAGACAATGTGTGCAATGCGGTCTCGCGTCTCCTAGTCATAGAATAAATGATACTTGACTATGAGAAACATTGGAAAAAGTATGAATGCATTTCAGCAGTGCACAACGTCAAATGTTTGCACAACAATTTGCAGAGTCTTTAGTACCATGCAAGACCAGTCAGATAAAGTGCAAGGTCTCAATCGAACGTTAACACTATTATTTCACCGCAAAGAAGGCTGAGTCATCGGGGATCACGGCGTTACCTGAGAAAAAAATCGAAAACTCTGCAATATCTCTAATTCGCGAAGTATGTGTCATCATGAGGTTATCAGTGGAACTGTGCGCTTAGGTCATCTGCATGTGCTGTAAGATTGCGTCCAGAGTTGCTCGCTCCATAGCCGTGCTGATGCTGTGCCAACGCCGTTCCAACGCCGTGCTAGAGCTGTGCCGGAACTTTTCCGCGTGATACGATGCACGTCTAAGTGTTTGTCGGCACGGCTTGTAACGATAACCATCTTCCACTGTATGAAGCAGCAAAACTCAGGTACGGCACTACCACGGCGCTAGAATGGCGCTGGCACGGCATCGGTACGACGATGGAACGGGAACTCTGGATGCAGTACATGAACGATTTTGGACGCTGTTTAGATCCAAACCTCACGATTCGTACCGATGACTAGTCACTTCAGGCCCGCACACTACGCGTGAAGCTGCGCTCAATGACGCGGCGCGTTTCACTTACGAAACGACTGGGAGTAACAACATTTCTAACCCGAAAACACCTAGAACTGGCGACAATTTTTGTTTTTAACTGCAACAAAAAGCGAAAATATTCGTTTTCATTTCCCTCTCTCCCACCCTCATCCCCCATGTTTTTTTTTATCGCAATGGGAGTTTCAGACTTGTTATCCCGTCATACTGCCGTAGACTTATTCAGCTTTTGTCAACACATGCTAGGAAAATGAAATCGTACCAGCGGGTGATCTGTCAGGCTTTGTATAGCATCCGCCATAGTGAGTGAACAAGTGCTCAATAATCCGCTGAATTAAATTATTCATGAATTTCTAGCTACAAACAACATAGCTTCAGCTCCCGCGTGTCAATATTTGATAGTTTGAGTAGGGGGGGGGGAGGACTAGGAGATTTCATTTTTTTCCATTCAGCTATGCGGTTACTGGTAGGAACAGGGGCTCCGACGCATTAGTACTGTAGTGAGCGAAAAGCTTACTGAAAGGAACTAATATTGTTTATGAAACAGGAAAGTTTTGGCAGAAAAAAACGGATTGAATTCACATTTGAAACATCAATCTAGTGGAAGCGAGAAAATGAATTTTTACCACCGATAACAGCAAATATCTTAATGGAAAAAAGATTTCCTATTACCTAGTATTTCCTACAAATGTAACGAAAAATCAATTTTCCATATCAAGCAGCAATTTGGTTAAAAGAAGATTAGCAATTTTTCACTCAAAGCATCATCTTTGAAATCTTTCGAAAATCTAATATAGAAAATCCTCACAATAAAGCTGGATAAAAACAAGAAATGCATGTGCTTTTCGCCGAATTTTCAGCGGAATGGGTAGCCCAAGGAACTGTTAGAAATTTCAAAGAAATGCGATAACACAGTTTAATGGCTATTGGCAATTTCGATTCGAAATGGAAGAATGGGCTACATTGTCTGCAAATCGCGGTGAAAAAAAACGTGGATCGATATTTGCATTGCGCCCGGATGCCACACGAAGGGCATCAAGAGTAGACGGCCTAAGCCTAGACTGAAAATGAGAATTGAACATCGGATGAAAAACAGCATTTCGTCATTTTGTGATGGAAACCGGAATGGGCGGGGGGGCTTATGTAAATTTTTTAGAATTTTTCTGACTATCAAAATTTCAAAAAACATTTGACATTTCTGAACTTTTGAGAGCGAGAGGATCAGCCAGCTTAAAAGGGACGAGAATTTTTGGATATTTTGATGAACTGAATTTATGAGAAATTACACTTTAGCATGAAAATCTCAGGGTCCATTCACGATAGGCTCAGGAATTTTTTCTTCACTTTTTTGAATTCTCAAATCTGTGGACAGCAATATCAAAGCTTTAAAGGCGGGAAGACAGCTCGAAAAAAAACAAATAAATTTTCTAAATTTTTTTGTAAATCACCTTTATGGGAAATCGAAACGCTTGAGTTCAAATAAATTACTATTTCGAAAAAAAAATCTCTTTTTCCTTCTTTTCCAGAGAGGAATCGAAATCAGCTCGAATTTCGAATCCAGTTTCCTAATAGTGATATATGAATGTGTGAGGGGGGGGGAAAGAAGTTGGGAGAAATTACCTGAATAAAGAATTTGGTGAAAGACAATAAAAAACTTGACTCACAGGTAGTATTTTTCTCAGAAAATTTGGTTATCCAATTTCTTCCCGTTGACCTTGAAAAAAGACATTCATATATTTTTACTCCTTTCTCATTTTATAATGCTTTTTCGACCGCTTTTCAACCTTTCTCTACAATGATATTTCTAGCAGGCTCAAAAGTCCTTGTAAAAAATAAGAATTGCTTGATTGAGGGGGGGGGGGTATTTTCATAATGTTGCGATCAACATTGGCGTTGGGGCAGATGGTTGCTAAGGGCAACGGCTGCTTCTGACCTCTACGCTGCTCATTTGGCATCTTTTATATTTTCGAGGTTTTGCAATATTTTGTTCATCTTGAAATTTCGCCGTACAAATGCAAATTTTCCCCCTAGGATTCCGCAATAGGTGTTGAAAATCACGATGTTAGAAAATTGCATTGATTTTTGAAACAATTTTCCAGAATCAGTCCAGGATTCGGATGTCAAGTACTCTTTACTGTCAGAAATTATCATAAAAACCACATCATTGTATGTAAACAATTTTTAAAAACTCAGCACTAAGTTATAAAAAAAATTTTTAGATGCTAAATTTGCTAATTTTGTTGCTTTAAGTGCTTGTCCTCAGTATCAACTATACATTTTTTTGAGCTCATTCTGTATCTTGATCACTATATTAACATAATTTGTTTAGTTAAAACACCATATGGAGTTTGTTCGTGTCTCTCTTGATGTAAAGAGTTTTGATCTCTAACGTTGTTTGTCCGAAAAATTGCATTGAATCGAATTGCCTGATAGTCGCATAAAAAATAATAATGATTGTTGTTGTACGGTAAACGTATTCTATTTCTATTTGTTTTTTCAGTCAGGGATATTTTATTACACTTCTGAATCCAAATAATTGTCCTCAAAATACTTTTAAAAAATCAGCGAAAATTCAGCTGAGAATAAAAATTGTGGAAAGAAGCGTTTATAATCTCTAAACTATTCACTATGTTAATTCATATCAATTAGAATCTTGAAAGTAAGAATTAGGTCCAACCATTCTCCATGACTGAAATCAGCAAAATTCTGTACAAAATTCCCTTACATAGAAAAGGCAAAACGATCAGCCCCGTAGGGGACTCGAACCCCTGACCGTTAGATTAAAAGTCTAACGCTCTACCAACTGAGCTAACGAGGCTCCGACAAGGACTTCCAGAGTAAACATTGACTATTCTGTATTACAATTGGTCCTCCAGCACCCGGAACATATTTTCGTTGTTCACCCTTGACTGCGTATTATACAGTAATTATATTTTTCCAGCTGGAGTTGACGTCACATGGTGATTAGACCCCCGATTGAGACATGGAGTCGAATGGAGCTGGAGGAAAACTTCCACAATGCCTATCAACAATTGCAAGCTGCTCAAAAGAAAGTCAACGAACAGGACAAGAAGATCACTATGTATGGAAAGTCTGTATTTTTTGACCTCATAAATAAATCTTTCATTCAAGCCTAAATACTCGCCTGAGGAGATCGGTGATGGAGCGAAAAGCAAAGCAAGACGCATATGTGGAGAGAGAAAAATTCGAAGAGTTGGAGCGCGAAAATCAAGTCTTGGCTTTGAAGGTATCTGGGCCAAGTTTCGTTCTCATTGTTACCGGATATACGTAATTTTTTTAGCTCAAAACTGTGAAACACCAGTTACTGACCTATACGACCCCAACAGCAAGACCTGCGACTGCCTCAGCAATGACTGTGAGTTCGAGTCACTAAGCCTTCTTCTTCTTTTGGCTTCCAAAATCGATTTTCTGTCATATTTTCATTTGTTTCTGTGGCATGGCTGAGCTGGATTTACGAACAAAGTAATTCATTTAATTTCTCAAAATTAGAAGATCTACTTAGGGACGTTCCACATTCCGCCCTCAACACACCAGACGTCCACCTCCTACAGCTTCTACTGCTGCTGAGAAAACAGAAAGGACGGATCCAAATGCCGAAAATGCGGATCCAAAAAGGTGGGACCTTTCTTGTCCCCTCCCCTCCATAATTACAATTAGCAAATTCAAAATGCTGTAAGCTGTTAATTTAGACCCACAACCGCTCGTATTAGCGAGGCTGCCTTGCGAGATAAGGCCAGCTACATTAGACTAAATAGGCTTGTAAGAGAGAAGAATAGTCAGGTGGCTGAGCTACAATATGAAATTGAAAGACTCAACGGGGTGAGCGAAACATTAATTTGTCTAATTTGTAAAAAAAATGGTTTTCAGTTACTTCACGATCTCCGATCCCAACTGGAGACGAAAACCTCGTCGATGCGCGAGCTTGAAAGCGAACTGCGAAGTATTCGAGAACATGCCGATGATGCTCACTACTTAGGAAAAATTGAATTAATAAGCAAGCAGTTATCGGTAGTTGAAGCGGAAAATGAGGTCCTCAAGGAGGCTAACGAGCGATTGGTAAAGCAGTGAGTCATTTCTTTCAAACTAAAATTCAACGTCATTGACAATCTCTCAGATCACTCTCCATGGAATTCGATGAAAGCATGAAAGAGCAGATCGAACTCAAAAAGCAGATATCAGTGCTGGAAGAAAGGCTAAAGGAAGCCGAACAGAAACGAGCGAAGACGGAGCAGAAACTTAGAAAAGAGAAAAGAGCTGTAAAAAGCCTAAAGGAAAGGGAACGCATGCCCAAAGGGGCAATGCTTATTCAACGGGAACAGTTGTAAGTTATCTAAAAAATCGGCAATCACTGTTTATCTGGTTCCGCCTTCAACTTTTGAACTGTTATTTGTACGTATTTTTTAGATTTATGTAAGTTTTTGTGTTTAGAAAGAGCGAAGAATCAGTAGATGAGGAAGCTGAAAGACATGCAAAGGAGAAAGAGAGTTCAACAAGAAAGAGGAAAAAGAAGAAGGTTAGCTCACGATTTCTGTCAGTTTTATATCCTAACTTATTTTTCCGTTTATTACACTACATTAAAAAACTGAAACTGAAGAACAATTGGGACATAAGAATAACCAGGCCTAGAGCGTTCGGATTTACAATAAATTATCACATTTGAAGCTTCTTCTACTTGTTTCGAAAGTGATCATACCAGTGTATCTTGACATTTTTCGTCAAAAAAGTTTCATATTAGTGAGAGTTCCACTATCGTTGCTTGAGCGTAATTGCACACTTTACAATGTCCTATAACCGCAGTTTTGCCTTCTTTTCTCATCTGACACCCGGTTCCGAAGACCTTGGAAAGTGGACAAGGGGCAAAATTTAATTATAACTTTGTCTCACCAAGTGTGCCGCTGACGTTTACTGCTTTTCTGGACAACATAGGGAATCGGACATTGTTCAGATGTGATGCAGGGAGAGGAGAGGAAAGGGGGGGGGGCAAGATTAGGGATCTTTCAGCTTTCTATGTTAGGATTAATTGGTCTTAAATTTGTTAGGTTCCAGTCGAAACAAAGTCTTGGGAAAAGTGGGTCCCAACCTCCATTTCGTTCCTGCAACCGAATAATTGTCCTTGGATCCTCTCTGGACTACGATTTTGCTGGTCTAGATTATTTAGTTTTCACAAACAATAGTTGTGAACTTTAATTCAAAAGGCTTGGCGGCTGGAAGGCGGGGCCTCGTGATCTAAGCAGGGCCGCTTGCGCCCACGACGCAGGCTGCGTCTCTATCCGCGCGTACTCTCTGACCATCACCTCGCCTTAATTGATTATTTTATTTATTTATTTATTTTCTAAATAAGGTCACGAAGCCCCACCTTCCTGCCGCCAAGCCAGTTGAATCAAATGGAACTTTACTTTCTAAACTCACAAATTACAATTTCAAAGAGTGCAAGTGTTGCCAGGAAAATGTCTGTGAAACACATGTATGTGAGAAAAATGACAAAAGGAAGGGACTCTCATACATTTGGGAAGACGGTAATCGGAAACAAGACGAAATGTGCAAGAAAAAAGGGCATTATTGGGCAACATCTGCTGACGAAGCTTCTTCACAGAACCATTGGTGAATTATTGCCTGACGCAAGAGAAACGAAACATCATGCATTCTCCTGTTGGCAGAAAATATTACCAAGGGGAGATTTCGTATTACTTCAAAAATTTAGTACTATTTTAAAAAGCAGTGTGAGCATTAACACTTGTGCCATAAGTACCGTTAGCATCTGAAGACGTGCTTTTCTGTTATCAAATTTTTTTATAATTTTTATTACAGGGCGAAAATGGTGACGACATCTTGGAAAGGTTATATCGGGATGTTTCTGCTATATTAGAAACCCATGATAGCTATGACGACGGTATAATTGAAGCTTCTGGTGGACCAGCGGAAAAATTGGCAAAGTAGAGATATCGTTACGGATTTTGATAATGATACTGGAAAAATGATTTAGGTGGAAAAAGATGTATGCGTCTTTGTATGACGAGTTAGAAAAATTGCGAAATATGCTTTTGGTTCAGCACGACATCAATCAAAAGCAAAATTTAGAGGTAGGGAGTCTGACCTATCGTTCTCATCCAGCAGGCATTTTGTGTAATACACAAATTCTTGAAGTTCGCTGACGAATCAATCTCCTTGAATAACGACGCTTACCTTGTCAACAGCTTTCTAGATTTTTTCTATTATTTATACAATTTTGTCTACTATGAAGGTTTTTTCATTTACAACTGTCATTTTATGCCATTTTTCAGCTGCGAAGCAATTTTTTTAAAAATGGTGCAATTACACAAACTGCTAAATTGGGGACGACTCTGTGTGATTACGTCTTCTTTCACTGATTTCTTTTAGATCAGTTTGCTGCAAGAAGAAATGGAATCCATCAAAGTCAAATATGAGTCGAAACTCAAAGAGCTGCGAGATAAATTAGTCGAGAAGCAGAAGAAGATTTTATTACTCGAAGAACAGATCCGTTCCATAGCTTATGGTAGTCAGAAACCTATACCAATAAAAGCAACGGTAAGTTCCTAAATCATTCGCGAACCGCTTTAATCGTTGATTTTCTTTCTAGGGTGAAAAAGCAGAAATATCCACTGATCTTTCTATCATGTTCACCGGAGTCAGCCTGACAGATGAGTTCGTTGCAAGCCTTGGGGCTTGTCCAGCGTACTTCTTGTCTCTCGAATTCTTCGATTTCGAGCTACAGACAACGCCTATTCTCACTAAGCAAACCACAGTGCTCGATTTTACAACCATATACAATGTGGTTGTGTCAAATCTATTCGTTCATTATATAGAGACGGTGAGTCTACAAGAATTTTAGTCCAAAATGATATTAGGTTGGTGCAAAAATAATGAGCGTTTTTATTTGCCTGCTTTAACAAAGCAAGCAGACTCAACCCAACAAAGGGTAAGGGGTACTGTTCGATAGAGCAAAGCAAGCTCTACAAGATGGCACTCATGTCTTTGCGCCAAGCTCGATCCACGGAGAGTTCGAACTCAAAATCTAAAGATTTCCAAATGCCCAAAAAATCGAAAAAAATCAGATCTTCGTCCAAATAATTTCTACGGACCTCCCACTCGCTCACATCAATACTATCGATACCTGACATCCATATGTGCGATTGCCGTATTTTTTCCTTGACTAGAAACTGAGAAAACGAAAATTTCCCTGATTTTCTCAAAACAATGCTGAGCCGTTTTTGCATATGTAGTTCTATACTACAAGTCTAGTTAAGCATAACTGTAGATTTTCAGCCCATTCCAAGCTGTAGTTTTCGAAAAATAACGAATTCGGATTTTTTCGTTTCAGTTTCAGTGCTAAAATCGACATTTCTCGAAAAGTACCGCTCGAAATAGGCTGAAAACCTACAGTTATGCTTACCTAGGCTTGTAGTATAGAACTACATATGCAAAAACGGCTCAGCATTGCTTTGAGAAAATCAGGAAAATTTTCGTTTTCTCAGTTTCTAGTCAAGGAAAAAATACGGCGATCGCACATGTGGATATCAGATATCGATAGTATTGATGTGAGCGAGTGAGAGGTCCGTAGAAATTATTTGGACGAAGATCTGATTTTTTTCGATTTTTTGGGCATTTGGAAATCTTTAGATTTTGAGTTCGAACTCTCCGCGGATCGAGCATGGCGCAAAGGCATGAGTGCCATCTTGTAGAGCTTGCTTTCTATCGAACAGTACCCCTTACTCTTTGTTGGGTTGAGTCTGGTTGCTTTGTTAAAGCAAGCAAATAAAAACGCTCATTATTTTTGCACCAACCTAATATATTGAGGGATTGTTTGACTCCACCATGGAAAAGATTGAGCACTCTGATATTTGGTACAAATTTGATTTATACATAGAAATTATTCATCATAAACCATGGAGACGTAGTAAAATTAACTGAACCAAAAAATGCAGAAAAGCTAATTTGCCTTATGCTCCAGTTCCTTTCATTGTTTCCTATGCTTCCAGCTGAACTTGCAGCTCTCTTACAGCATAGTAAATTTAAGCATAGTGCAAATACTAACATATCATTGTTGACATATCTCGTGACCTTTCAAGGAAGTTTCATACAAACGTGGTACTCCCTCAACCTGACTTCCACTTAACTCAACTTTCCCACTTTTGAGCCATGGAATCCGCTGCATTTCTACACTTTTTCAGAATGGCATTACTATCGAGCTCTATTCTCCGCAGGGCACGAACTACACCCTCCTGGCGGCTGGAGTAGTAAATCTCAAACCACTTCTTCAGGTTAGGGATTGAATCATCATACAAGAAGTCATACTCATTTCAAAGTCCAATTGAGACTTTTAGAGAAAAAAAAAGAGAAGGTCTTTTCAGAAAGGAGCTAAAAGTCGTTATGTGGGCGAGCTGAAGTTGGTCTCGTTGGATTCGGGTGCGGTTATAGCCAATCTGAAGTACGAGCTTAATTCCACCGAAGAACTGACGAAGTCCATAGGCAGTTATCAGGTCAGTCACTACGAGATGCGTAGCCCTATTACTCAAAGATTTATTGAGTGAAATCCGAATAAGTGGACCATGATATGAATAAAGCATTATGGCCAGGCATTTTTAGGCAGCCGAAGCCGCGCAAAAGGTTCTTCCCATAGAAATACCATTAGATGAACAATCCTTTGAAGAACTAACAGTCATGGTGCACAGATGTACGGGTCTAGAGAAATTGAAGAAAGGTAAGTCTGCCAGATGCAGACATTTGCTTTTCGATTTGACCTAATTTAGGTGAAATGGAAGTTTGCGTAATCTACGAGTTCTTCTCATTCTCGCCATATTTCACCAATTATGCGACTTCATCAAATACTGCCGAATTCAACTCAAAAAGAAGCTGGATGCTGCCCTTGGAAGCGGTGCAAAATTATCTAGGTGAAACGGTAAGTAAAGTATTTGAGAATATTTTCGTAAATGGTTTTCTCCTTTGCAGGAAATTTCATTCTTCCTCTTCGAAAATCGACCACAGAACCGTGAAGAGAAGGAGGGAGTACTGGCAATGTTATCTCTTCCAATAGCTCCGCTAGCTGAAAATAAACGCATTAAAGGCTCATTTATGATGACAAAGGTGAGAGTCATCATAAAATGTTACAAATTAAACTTTTTCTAGGACTTTCCATGATGTGAAAAGAGCAAATGAATCTAGTTTTTACTAAAATATCTTTCCAGCTTAGAGGACCACGCGCAATCATTACTTCTAAGAATTTTTGATATTGCTAATAGAATTGCAAGGAGGGTAGTTTTCGATACTACTGCCTCAAACTTCAAGAAATGTAATGATAAATTTTTGGCTGAAGAACCAATGATGTGGCATTTTACGCAAAATGTAGTACATGAATATTTTCAAGTATGTCGTATGACAGCTCTGTGAAGAAGGTAACTTCTAGTATAAATTACCAAAACAATTTCGTAAACAAATTCTTCCAAAAAAGTTTGGTATTCACCTATAGGGACGTAAGTTTCTCAGTTTGCAAAATAGTCCAATTTTCGGAAAACATGAAGGAATGCGGTGATTCTTATTGTTAGCGTCAACATCAACTTTGTCGGATCAATTGCTTCACAGAAAGACTTCCTTTCACAAGCGCACTCCTCAAGGAAGCCTTCACTTTCCTTTTTTTCGTTCTTTTTTTCAAAAAAAATTTTTTTTCTTTCCTTCAGACGCATACATCTTTAGGAAGACGGCAATGACAGCGGAGTATACCTGGATGTGACCATAATGTGGAAGCATGGTCTTCACAGCACCATTGCTAAACCTGGATCTGGAACCACTTCAAGCAAACCGGAAACTGACACTACGCAGGTTATTCTTTGAAAATAAAATAAGAATTAGCCCTCTGTTGCCTAAGCGTGTTTATTTGCAGATAAAGATAACTCCTGCTCCTCCAGTACGAAGGCCACAGGAGTCGGTAGATATCATCAAGGATAGCTCTTCGAACGATTCAAATGAGGACGTTTTCTCTCCCGTTTCCGTTAGAAGCCCGAAGATTCCATCAGTTACTGAGATAGACCACAAGGAGATCGGGACTTCGGCAAGAGAAGAGTAAGTTCCAAAATTCTTTAATAAGTTTCACCAAGTGAGATTCCTTTGCGATTCCAGTATCGAAACCATATCCCTGAAGGACTCATCACGAGCATCAAACACTCCTGTGGCAGACACAGGAGCAAATGAAGATAAAGAGGATAGAAAGTCCTCCTCATCAAGTGTTAATAGCCAAACAGGAACATTTGATGTAGAACGCCCTAGTTCGCGTGAATCCGCAGAGAGTGTAGTTTCACAAACGGAAAGTAAGTGTCCGCTCTATCTCAGAAAGTTCCTGAAAATCGCAATGATTTCAGAAGCAGAACAGGCTGATAAGGAAAGTCAAAAAGCAGATAATCAAGCGGCAAAGGCTCGGGAAAAGATGGAAAAGGACAAAAACGAAATCAGAAGTTTACTTGGTGATTTACCTCCGATCGCCAAACCGAGACTGTCAAAGGTGATCTAAAATCTATGAAGCTATTTAGCTAAAATTTCTAAGCGCAAAGTGAATCCTTACGCCTATAGCCTATTGACGGATGAAGGCCGCCCAGTCAAGCTAAGCGGTCGCGACGCGGCGCGCAGGCATTCTGACTTTTGTGCCTCACGCGCCCTTTTCTGGCGCCCGCTTTGCTTCCATAAATCGAATTTTGCTCCGATAGATTTTAGATACATCTCATAAACAATATTTTACCGCAAAATGTGCTCACATTCCGCCAAAATCCTTCCAAAAAACCACCAAAGCAAAAAAGAATCTTTATGCTTTGGTTCTTAGTAATACAGAAGGATTGCAATATTCCAGCCACCATCAGAATTTACAAGCTTGGGTAGACCAAAGCACGAGAGTGAGGAGTCGTCATCCAGGAGTAAAACCAGCTCGGAGAACGATGAACTACGTGACAGACAACGAGCTGTCTTTTTCACAGATCCACTTCATAAGTCCATTCCACGTAAGTTACATTCACAAGATAAATTTCACCATCAGACAATTATATGTTGATTAAGCTGCTTTTGTCTGGACTACTTGAATCAGTAGCAAAATGTAAAAAAGTTGATTGATGTGCATAGGCGAGTTATGGCACGCAAGGGCAGGAAGTCGTTGCCGACGAATGAGAGAGTTCATGTTTGGAAGAGACAGCAGGCGGTGAGAGAGATTTATGTAAGGCAAAAAAGGCTCCCACAATGTCCGCAATGGCATTCCGCCTCCGCATGCGTGCGATGCATCGGCTATACTTCATCGACTACGACTTCATCCATAACCTCCAGAATAGTTTGAGACAGCCTTTATTGCTACATTTATTTATTAGCAGCTACTGAGCGAAAATAGCAGTAACTTCGACATCAAAAACTTGAGAAACAAATTACTTTTCTTCTCGAAAGATTTTCCGCAGTCGTGTTTAAAAAGAGCACGAAACTTTTGACGAAAGCTTTTTTCCAGCTAGTGAAACCTCATCCATGTCCTCTCCACCTCCCAGACCTCCGGTTCGTTTACCAGCTAAAGGTGGAAGAAGTGCTATCCGAGTGACGAATGTGACACAAGAGGTGAATCTTGACATTTTCAAGAACTGAATATTTAATTTTTGCTTACATTTACATTTTTTTCTTTATTTTCTATCAGTTAGAAAATCATTTGAGTTGCATAAAAAATGAATGCTAGAGTACAAATATTTTCAGGACGATTCCGATTCAGATGAAAGTCGAACAGTGTCAATTTTCATAGATCGCATATATGTTCCAGAATTTTCTCGTTTGCTGCACCCAAGCTATGATGGTGTCAAGGTTTACGTCGACTGGTAAGATGTTCGTAAAATTGATGAGCTGGATTAACCACTTCCTTATTTAGGTTTTTCTTGGATTACCCATTGGAGGAGTCAAGAACCCCGGAAGCTGTTCTACTGCCACGAGTTCCAGATAGTCCTGGAGTGTTCGCCTTTAGGAAAGGTAAGTTCGTCTACAAAGTTGATTCGTTCAAAATGTTAAAATTTAGAATTTCAACTTTCAAAACGTCGTGTTGCCCTACTTGAGCAATGGGTTGAGCTCGGTAATCGCCTAGATTTCACCTTGATAACCGAAGGAGAAGATAGTGAAGAATTGGCCGTCGCTCAGCTGGAACTTAGCCGAACTGCGACAGACGAGACGACAACAATTCAATGTGCGTTTATTTCCAGGCAGTTCTGTGTCTCTGGACTTCTTATGTAGAGAGTGATTTTGAGCCTCAACTAAACCATTATCCTGGCAGCTTGTGTGAAACATACCTTTGTTTCAATTAGACTGACGGATGGAAGGCAAGGGATTCGTGACCTAGTTAAGGCTAGAGAATGATCAGAGAGCACGCGCGCGAGAGATAGCAGACTGCGTCGCGGGCGCGAGCGGCCTTAATTAGGTCACAAAGCTCGGCCTTCCAGCCGTCAATCCAGTTCAAAAGTTAACCGGGAAATTCAACTCCGAAATCTCGCCCAGTACCGTAACCTTTCTTGGCAGACCAGTGAACTTCCGTACGGTAGTGGGCGAGATACAGCGGAATATGGCTACACATGATTTATTCGACATGTTTTATGTGTAATTTGTTTCTTCCAGTTCTGGATATCAATGGAGAGCACTATGCGGACCTGGACCTTGTTGTCTCTTATCCACCGCAGATCTTCGACTGCCTCAAAACATGATTATGTGTGATGTATCTAAATGATTTCCTCGCTCAACTTGTGTCAAATTATAACACAAGCATAAATATTTGGACTAGTCGGAGCTTACGAAAAACACCAGAAATAAAGTGAGGTGTTGGAAATTTACTGTTGCTGAAATGCACCATTGACATTATTCTGGCAAAGAGAATTGATACTAGGGTTTTGCAGCGCTGCATTAAGCAGCCCTATGTTCTTACCGAAGTCCTAGATCAGGAAACACGTTTAAAAAGACTGGCATCCGCTCGGTGCGGATCTCAATTTCCCTGGAACCCCCACATCTTCGGGTTTCTCTCGCAAGACTACAGGCGAACAGATAAGTAGACGAACAGATAAACTGCGGCTTCAACTCTCTGATTCTTGGCGGAGCTTGCGTCCGTTTGGGAATTTTCAAAATTTAAGGTGTTGAAAAAAGTCTGCTTTGCGCTCTCCAAGATGTACCTTCTAAATGAGCGTAACAAAAGCAAGGTAAACGGAACTGCTAACGTCGCGGGCTTCAAATTTATGCTTCTAATGTCTCGAATTAGAGGGTATAACACTACCGCATTTGAACGATCATTCAAAAAGACATGATGAATCACTGCAATGCACAAAAATTTTATTTTATGAACATTTCGGCCATGCTGGCTTTATATCTCCTCGAACATCAAGACGTGCCGCAAAATAGCAGCACACCTTCATCTTCCAATTTACGTCATAATGCACTCGCTTCCGTTTACATCCATAGGGTACAGAATAAATTGCCTAAAAGCTGAATCAGTTATAAACTTCGAACTAAAGATCCTGATGAGCGGTTTTTTCCACTCATAAGTAATCAAAAAAGTCACCGAACTCAACCGGAGTTCACTGAAATTGGCGTCACACCGCCATTTAGTTCAAAGTTGATAAATTGTATATCCGCACTGTTCGACTCAGCTCAGTGGGGCACGTCTTCTGATTCATATAGGTTCCTACTCGAAGATGATAGACGCACGGTAGGCATCCAAAGTTCGCAAGTATTTTCAGATTGTTGTTTATGGTAGGTTATAGTCTGCTTATTCATTACATCAACTTGCCGTAGGCAAAAATCTGTGGAATCTGGCCGCTCACCGTATCCAATTGCCATTCTGTGTATCAGAAAATGCGTCTCGTTGAGCTGAGCCAAAAAATGCCTTTGGATTCCAATTCGGCCATTCCGAACCAAGATATGGCGATGCGACACGAATTCTGGTGAACTTCGTCTCATACAGTCGATGTTGGGAAGAAGAATTGAAAGCGACGTAGAAGACGGAGCAAAAAAACGAAAACGCGGAAGAGAATGTGAAATGATTTAAAGCAAGCTTGAAAACGACAAGATCTTGTTCTCGAGAGCAGCGCAAACTGCATATTAGCTTAGCGGCTAATCTGCTACGTAACGATTTCGCCGGAGATTCTGGACGTTTATATCTTCCCGGCAGTTCTGGGGATTTGGGAGGTTGCCGGAGAAAACTTTGCTTAGTTCTTCGGAAGCCTTGTGCACCGACTGTTGTGGCGTCACCTTAGAGCAGACTGCCCTGCGCCCGCCTTATCTGGCAGCTCCAATAGTCAAGAGTGTTCCAATGAACCCCAGAGGAATTTCCTGCGGTGGGATCCGAGCTGCCTGAGGTTGGAAATCGGTATTTTTTTGAGGAATTATGAGCAGCATTAGGCATACGTCTATATTAAGCTGCCCTTGCATCTACTGTTCGAAGGCTTTTGTCCGCTCCTACAAACAGTCTTAGAATCTCGTGACCTAACTAGCGAAAGAATTTAGGCATGCCTTTGATGCAACTTTTCCTTCTCTTTCTGATAGCCGGGTCCCCAAACACAATGTATTCTATGCTTTCGAGTGACAGTCAAAAACTTTGCTTGTCATGTGCTCCACTTGTACTAATTTGATATTTTCAAATTTCGAAGAAGAATATCAAGAATTTAGAGCAATAATTGAACTATAATATATTCACCTGACCCAAATGCGATAGCCACAATTGGCATAGTTTTTTCCACTTCTCCATAATTACCGCAACCAGATCTTTGACAGAATCTCTGTAATCAGAACTTTTAGAACACTTCAATTAACCATATCTGCACTTATCAGATAGTCCAAGAAGAACGAATCCTGAGTCGACTTCGTCGTAACTCTTCTTATGTTCTCTTTGGAGATACTGAGAAGCCAGATTTTGACATGTGCAGTTAAATTTCTAAATATTATATCTTGGAAGATTAGTTGCCTTGCGTCAACCAGTTGTGAACATCAATCGTTAAACAAACCAACCAGCTTGTGATTCATCGTTTCATTTTCAATGCTTTCCTTGAGCAAATTATTCAGTTTGTTAGGTTTCTCTGAGTGACATTTTTTTCGAGCTTCGGAATTTGCAGAAAGAATCAGAAGTATCTGGATTCATGGTAGACATAAGCGTAATGAAATTTATCAAGAGCTAAACATACAGAAAGAACCAGGTAGATATGCTTCATCTTTAATAGAAAATCTGCAACTGCACCCTATTTATTCCGTTCATGTTAGTGTGGCAATCAAAATTTGTGCCAAAAATATCGCTCTAAACAGCTTAACGCTAGCGATTTATTGTGTCACATTTGAGCAGCGAAAAGACTGACCTCTTTGTAAAAGAACGTACAAAGCCTGTTTATACAGCAAAAGCATCTGCTTACTTGCTTTGAATTTGTCCTGCCTGGGATTGTGTGACCTTATCATACTAAATTTACAACATTTTTGCAAACTTTCAGTTCGCGATGCAAGTCCAGTGTAGTGCAAAATTAAGTCCTCTGGTCAAAGTCGCAATCAGGTATTATTATTCACTCACTGCGAAATATCAGTGCTTCTTCTTTTTCGTCACGACCTAGTCTTCTGCTGCTAAAAGTCTTGCACCGTTTACGAACCCTTCGAAAAAAGTCATAAAGAAAGGATTTATACTCACCCTGATAGATTTCTGGCCTATTATAAGGGAATCTATAAATGATAGTAAATTTAGTTACTCCGAATCTACTCGAACATCGATAAGCATCAAGATGATTATTATCACGAGTGGCATAGACCTCTTTTGAAGACTGCCAAAATAAACGTAACTGCACATGGAGCACCAGTGATCGCAAATACCGTTCTAGTAATCAACATTATGGGCAATTCCTGGGCCAATTTCAAATACATATTGAATTCTTCAGAAACTGATTTTGAACATGCGTTTAGTGGTTTGGAGTGGCATACAAAAAACGTTCGGTCCTTGAAGGCTCGGGAAAATTGCGACTGCGGGCTTTCCACGACTACATGGCTTTCCGGACCAGCTGAGTCCGGTATTGCGCTTGAAAAGTCACAAAAGTGCTTTTTTGGCGTTTCGGGCCCTCGCAGATTGCTGGAGGGGCGGGCGAGGGATCCACCCCAAAAGGAGCAAATGGCTGCTGGAGACTGTAAAACTCCATCTATTTTCGCGGCAATTGGCTGATCAGCCTAGGCAGCCATCGCGATACAGTTTGCCGCCAAAATAGGTGGAGTAACAGTCTCCTGCAGCCGGTTTCTCATTTTGAGATGAATCCCTCGCCCCGCCCCTCTAGCAATCTCTAAGGCCCACAAACCACAAAAAAGCACTTTTTTGACTTTTCAAGCGCTGTACCGGACTCAGCTGGTCTGGAAAGCCATGTAGTCGTGGAAAGCCCGCAGTCACAATTTTCCAGAGGCACTGCCTTCAAGTAAGAGAAAAAGTCAAGATTTCGGCTTGAACATTTAGAGCCAGTTATTTTCCAAGCAACTATGTATCACATTCGTTCGGAATGCTGATTATAAAATCTTCCATTCCTAAGAGCGAACAATTCTAGGTGAAAAAATCGTAGGTGTTTCTCTCAAGGACAAAACGCACCCAACGGTTGTTGGGTGGAGTTTGGCATTATAATAGGTATTTTGCTTTTGAAGAGAACCAAGTTCGCATTCACTTGGTGACTTGCGAGCAAGTTTGGAAGCGAACGACGTTTTTAATCCTTTATTTCATGCTTCATCGACAGCCCTTCCGTTATTTCTGACGAGATCAAGATAGACACTGAAGAAACTTCTTACTCCTCTTGAAATCGTCAAGGACGGAAAATGGTACTATGCTGTTTTCCGAGGAGAGAAAAAACAGACCCATAGATTGATGCCAATGGGTCTCATGCACAAAAAATCAAAAGTTGTTCTCCTATACCGTCTTTCAGTTCTGACATGAAACACATGGGACAAAGCCACTCAAGCTACCCGGATTTAATTTAACACGTTTCGGACCGGTGCTGCACATGGTGCAGCACGCTGCTTTGGAGGTTCTTTCTGATTTTTGCAGGAGGTTTTCTTTAAGTCCGAAGTTATTGAGTCAAAGGTCTAAGCTGTTACTTTTTGTATGTTATGCACCAGATATTTGTTTACGAGATGTAAGGACAAATCGAACAACAGTTGCAACGAAGTGCGGCAACGCGAACGACGCGTGCGATGTCGCAACTTTTCTTTGCTCCGATTTCAAAGAGATAAACCGTAGTTTCAATAGTGACGAGTACAGTGTACAACATAGACACTTTTAGATACTATTTGAAACTGAGTTCTTACTCCTATCTTTCAAGAAAGCAGAAAAGTCCCGCTCAAGCGACAAAATTCAAACGCTTCGAATTCACCCAGAATTTTGGGTATGGAGCTTATCTGGCATGCTGATTGCAGGTGTAGTCCACAGTTTGCGAAATAAGGTTCCTTTGCTGGCTAACTGCCGAAAGTGCACTCTTTTTCGCCGCGCGCGATTTCGCGGTCCGAAACGTGTTAACCAAGCCGAGGTCATCAAGGACACATCTTTTCGCTGGCGCTGATTCCCGCGAAGAATGCTACAGTCCCATCCTGCGCGCGATTCCACGCCTAAAATTTCGCAGTTACGTCGTAGCACTTTCTTTTTCCTCAGTTTATGAATTTGTCTGCTTGCAAGTTTTTCCTGTAGCTTAGGTCTTGGTTTTGCACTCGAAGATAAGACTTTATGCGCGGGTTCGCAATGTCTATTTGTTGTTGAAGTCCGTTGTGTCGTACGAAATTGGTTATTTTTTTGCTTGCAATTCAGATCATCTTTTTTTCGTTCAGGTACACCAACAGCTGCAATGGCTCCCGCTGCCAAGAAGCCTCAGGTGCGTGAAAGTTACTCTGGAGTTTGTAATTCGGACTGAGAAGGTCCTTTTTATACGGACACGGAGTTCGAATTATTTACTGAGAAGGATGTAACTTTCCATTAGTAGCGAAGTGCATCCGGATGCAAATCCGGTATGTACCTTTGAACTTTTCATTATGCTTTGTGAAGTCATAGTTTGCAAAATAATTGGTTATAGTGCTACTTCCATTATTTTTTATGAGTTTATTGCTGGACCAATTTATCTACTCAGAAGTCAAATCGTTTCCATCTGTTGGTATCGAGGCAGAAAGAGGAACACTTTGTTTTCGTCTTATAAAAGCTTAAGACATTTTAGCTATGGCTGTTACCCGTTCAGTTCAGCTGAAAATCCTCTCGAAGTTCTGTTTTGCAAGTATAATACTGTAACGCTTTTTTCTCGAATTTCCTCAGAACAGTTTCAGAACAGTGGCTTGTAGGATCAGTGAAACTTGCAGTAACATCTATATTCTGCTCCTCGCCTGTATGTGATTTCGTTTAGGTCAAGAAAAATGCTGAAAACATCAACACCCGATTGTCCATGGTGATGAAAACCGGAAAGTACGTACTGGGCTACAAACAGACATTGAAGGCTCTTCGAAACGGAAAGGCCAAGTTGGTCATTATCGCCAACAACACTCCTCCCCTCAGGTGCGTTGTCCTTGCTGGAGTTCTTCTCAATGCTAATCCCTTCACATTTTCGTTTAGAAAGTCTGAGATCGAGTATTACGCAATGTTGGCCAAGACCGGTGTCCATCACTACAACGGAAACAACATCGAACTTGGAACTGCTTGCGGTAAACTTTACCACGTCTGTACTTTGTCGGTCACTGATGCTGGAGATTCTGACATCATCCGCAGCATGCCATCAGAAACGGCGTAATGTTGTTATTGTTGATTTTAAATAAATTGTTTATCTGTTCTTTTTTGTGCATCTGTATTGTTTCTTTTATGCATGGCAGGTATGAAAGGGTTTTCATTTTGTACTTAGTATGCTTGAGCATTACCGGTTAGATTGTTGCCTCCCACAAGCACACATAGTGTCAGTGACAGGCCAGAGAGGCGTTGTTAGCGCACACTTGCTATCGAAGTTAACGCTTCAGATCCAAGGCTCAAAAACATGTCGGGCTGATTTGGGGGCGCCTCTGTCTTAACAGATCACTGAAGCGGGCATGCAGATCACAGTCGGGTGCGACTGCAGAATATCGCTTTCGAAGCGGGAAAAAAACTTCAGAAGCCAAACAGACGCCGCTTCACTCAGTATCGTTTTTACCGAAGCAGGAACTCGGCGGGGACAGTTACGAGGATATCATGACATGCATCGAGGTTTTCCTCCACGATATCCTGCTTCGGTAGGGACGAGACCGAGTCGAGGGGCGTCAATGCTTGCTTCTGAAGCTGTTTTTTTTGCTTCAGTAGCAATATTTGGCAGTCGCATTAAAGCTGTGGTCTGCATAAAGAGAAGTAATCGCTTTAGTAATCTGTTAAGAGTGAGATGCTCCCAAATCTGCCCGGACACTGCCTCCAGTTTTCTGGCGAAAGTTTGCTTTGTTCAGCATGGTATCAATAACTCCCAGGAGCACACTGAATAAGTGATAGCTTGATTTAAGAAGTAGCCATTACTCATGAAGCGTTGAAAGGCTGTGTAACCTATTCTGAGACTAGGAGAATAAGACCGCTTTGCACACAATGTCTAAACAAGCTTAACTGGTTTTTCCCGGGGTCCAATTAGTGAACGGCTAGATGAGATGTTTGTAAGTGTGAACTGTTAGCTGTATAGTCAGTGCGAAGGCGACTCCAGTTTCCTAGTCAGAGAATGAATGGTAATAATCGACATGTCCACGTTCGGTAAACGTCCAGGCGAGTGGATTTCAACTGGCGACATTCCATTACAATGCCCAGTTCAACTATTCGATCCATCCGAAGGTAGTGGTCGGTGGATGCGTATGTGACAAGTGCAAGCGAAGGAGTTTAGAGCCGAACATCCCGGGATGCGCTGTTTCGGCTGCAAAGTCGACCTTCTCCTCTACGTGAGCCGCTTGTACATGTCTGGCACAAGTGTTGTGCTCAGGCACTTCATGCAGAATATCAGGAAGTGAAATTTGCTCACAAATAACTCCTTCGGCACTACAGCCCTATGGCCGACGGTGTGAAAGAGGGCTTCATAATGACGTTCATTGTGCAGGAGCAGATCTATCATAACTGGATCTTTGCTTCCTTGTGAAAATGTAAGCCTCAGTTTTTGCAGCTGTACTTCGCAGCACTGCAAGCGAATCAACGTTGCGGCATTATTGGTAACACAAGGCTGGACGTCGTGCTAGAGTTGCGAGGAATTCTGCAAGCACAACCGGCACAACCTCCTAGTGAATATGTTTAAGACTGCTTTGGAATAAATACCGAATGAAAGGTCTACAGGTCGTTAACAGTGGTGACAAGAAACCTGCTGATCAGAACGAGCGACGCTCTGCATTCTGTAGGCAAAATGGGATGGTCTAAGTAGTACTACGATAGGCGTGATACTAACATCGATTGCGGAGTACGATACCCCGCAGTACCAGTCATATTCTGGGATATGGAAATCGGGTATCACTTTGAGCTATGGTAGAGTAATCCTAGCACTGGTGCCCGCCTATAAAAAGGTATCGGCTATGGATTCCTATGCGCATCGCATGTTCCGTGCAGTGAAACGTCGTCGACTATTTTCCACTTTATGTGGACATGTACGCTAAGACTGAAAACGAACGACTCCGTTTTAATTGATTCAGTCAGCGAAACTGCGTGCAGACGAGTACATCCACCTGCTGGATGCGGTGGCCCAAGAAGGAAATGCCATTGACCTCGGGCGAATTCATACTACCAACCTGCTCCATGAGCGGCCCACCCCATGCCAAATGCATGAGTACACACAGGAAGCCATGGACTATGGTAGACGCACAGCGTCCTGATCTGTTTATCATGTTTACGTGCAGCCTGGCGTAGGTCGAAAATGCGGGAGAGCTTTTCTCTTGTAAAGCGCAGGGTATAGGAAAGGTCGCCAAGAGGCTTCCTCCTTGGACTGCTATCACGGGCTATGTCAAAGAAGAGTGCACATTCGTTGCAAATGTCCGCGCGACCTCCCTTTTCAGCGACCTAATGTCCTCTACCCGTAAAGCGCATACTCCGACTTTCGTTGCGTACCAGCGGCGTTCGACTGTCCTCTGAGCGCAGCACGCGAACGCCGCTGGTAGGGCAGTTGCACGCCGCTGGTACGCTGTGGAAGGGAAAGGGAAAACTTCGTCCAGGTCACACCGACAGCAACATTTCGAGGAGTACCCAATCGAGAAGACGTTTCTCTTATGTTCGCTGTTGTCCTCAAAAACATGATCCATGGGTCATGCGCAACATGGAACCCGAGGTCACCCCACAGGAAAGAAGGCAAGTGTAGCAAAACATACCCTTGGTCTTGATCTACAAAATCTACACGGGAGCTGATGGATATTCCTTATAAAGAGGATATCCATCACTTTCCGTGTAGGCAGCCTGATGATGGAGAACACATGGCCGCTGATAATGAAGGTGGACTGGACCATCAGATGGCGTAGAATGGACAACAGCTGAGCTGTACTATACACCTCTTATTATTAGAAATGTTTCGAGCACATATTAATGCCGAAAACTGCAATTTGGTAATGTCGGTTAAGTACGTTTGCAAATTTGAACAAGGGGAGTGACATGGCAACGCTTAGCCTCGTGTATGCCAATGCGACGTTGATGAGATCGAGCGTTATTATACGAACAGCCTACATGAGCAACGAGGCAGTCTGACGTATTCTGGGTTCCAGTACGCACGATACGCGCCTGTCACCAATGTACCTGTCCTAGGGAATGAGCAATGGTAACATCATGACTGATAATAGGCGGCAAAAAGCTGCGCAGCCATTAATCAAGTTTGACGGCATTCTTCCTTCTGTGCCAAAATGATGCGTTTTGTACGGACTTTATGGTACCCAGAAGTTCCAAGATATTATACTTAGAACAAGTCAACGAAGAAGTGGGCCAGAAGGCAAACTGCTGAAGAGGTCCTACATGTTATTCAGCTGACGACAATTGTTGAGCCTACATGCTTCTTCATAAGGAGGGTTAAGAGGCAGCTTACCGTGCTGTTTTGGACACAGTCTCCAGTGGCATGGATGCCAACAGGGGAAACACTCTTCAATCTCTACTTGCTGAGACTCGCAGACAAGGACGAATGATACTAGAAGTAGCATTTTCAGGGATTGCCTCAACAAGACCACTGTCATAGTTTGGGAATACACTATGGTGCATAAGTGTAGAAACCCTCGTCTTTACTCTGCAGGACCTTAATGGAGAGCTACAGGTCAAGGGTGGAGCCGCATTGCTACTGGTAGAGGACTCTCGCCAAACTTTGCAGTGATTTCGCAGTCGACTCCAGCAGATGAGCTGAATGCTCTCCTCAAATCCCACGTCTAGAGACATATTCGATCCTTGAATCTCACGATGAACTTGCGAGTCCACCTCCTTGGCGTTGAGACCATTAGAAGCTTTGCGCAACAGTTGTTGGTTCTTGGCGAAGACAGAATTAGATTGGAAATTCTGTCATGATTACCTCCCCGCCGAAAGTTTGCAACATGGTTCATTCGTTGAGGAACCAATCGGGAAGGTATTCTCAGGCTTGCTATCAAATTAGAAAGTGAACTGATGCAATCTGCAAATGCCGGTCCTGGCACCTAAAAATGAACAGGTAAATTCTAGCAATGCTTAGACTTTAGGTAGTCTTTCTGGACCAGTATCAACGTAAACATTTGTTGATACCATGGCTGAGGGTAGGTTGTTTTTTCGAAGGGGCCGTTTGGTCAAAGTGACCTTTCCATACAAAACTAGTACGGCTTTGAAGAGCATCGAACACGATATCAAATCTGTTCGTTACCTACCAAGCTCTTCTGGACGCCGAGGTATGAGCGTTTTTGAGTTGAACGATCACATGCTTAGTTAGGACAATCGAAAATTGTCAGAAGGTGTATCCAGTGTTAATTATCAGAGCGCTCTACTCAGAGGATACTTTCTGTTTGAAACACTCATACTTAACATGCTCTATTTGAGCGCTGTGAAGACCGCAACATTTGATATTATTCTTTCCCCCACAGTAAAGCGGGCGGAGCTTTGCGAACGTATGCGCGTGGCAGTTTCTGGCAGCTAAAGAGTATAAAAACTAGTGCTTCAAAATGAAGGTTCAACAAGTTTTCCAACGTTTTCAAATGTCTGCGTGGCCACGCCCGAATACGCATGGGAATCGCCTATATCTATTTAGATTATGCGTTCATTTTCGCACCAAAAAACATTCATAGCTCTCATGCAGAGGCAAACATCGAAGTCAGATTTGGAATCACCGTTAAATGCTCTGCATATTGGTATAGGACTCATTTGGAAAGGCCACCTCGACTCAACCGACTTTCCTTGTGAGTGCTTGAATTCACTCGATCCTAACGAGATCACCTCGTAAGTGATCTGAAGGTTGGTTTGCCGATCGTGCTCCTTCGCAACATCAACCCACCGATTCTTCAAGAACTTCATGCCAAACGTCATAAAAGTGACCATATTAATGGGAAAGTTCAAAGGTGAGATCTTTTCATTTGCACGAACTCCTTTGGTTCCCAACGATATACTCTTTGAGCTACTGCAGTTTCCGGCAAGGTCCGCGATGACGACCAACAATGCGCAAGGGTAGTTCCTGCAAACAGGAGAAGTAGACTTGGAAACTCCCAATTATTCGTTTTGAGTTGCTTGTGACATGTTTGAGAGTTGGAAGTCCTGCGAACCTGGCACAATCAACGTAGTGTATTCCAGGGAGCTAATAATTGCATGTTGCACGTTTACAACCTGTATCTATCTGTTGCATGGCCGTCTATTGGGAAATCCAAAAGAAAACAAAATCTATGGCAAAATGAAAACCTAAAAAATTGACGAGGTGGCCAGTGGTGGTAAGGCAAAATGGACAAATCAACAAACTGAGTACTGAGTCGGTTGAGCTACTTTTTCTTGTGAAGTTGCGGGGACCTGTTTAGCAATTTGTCTATGGGTAGGGACAAATAAAACGGTACAAACAAAGAACCGAAGTTGTATTCCTCTTCTTGAGAAAATTCGACTTTTTGAGAAAGAATTGTGCATAGAGCCGGGCGAAGTCGGATATTCCAGCTAGTTAAGGAATAAATTTTTTTACACGTAAACACACTTTTGTCGGCAGCAGCGAATGTTTTAAAACTTTGCTGTGACGATTCAAAGTCTGTCACAGTTAAGAGTGGTACACTGAGCAATATTATGCCTATACTCCCTACTTGTAAGAGTAATCATGCGTAAGCTCGTTTACGAATGTGATGATTAGCACTGGTCGGGCGCATATGCGCTCCATTAGACTCAATTAATCACGCTTTTTAAGCGCTATACAGGTTTTGCAGCACGAAGACAACAAGCTCTTCCACGATACGCGCTATTCCTTACTAGCTCCTTATCCATCGCCATTTTGAGTGCAAAAATTCTGTAAATTCTCAAACTGTCTCGAATTTTCAGCACGTTTACCTAGGCGACTCGGGCGCTTTGACTCCTTGTTGATCCTCTCGGCAACCGCACTTTCCCGATCGCTATAATTGCTAGGGTTCCGAATATAGAATGTAAGAGGCGGCACAATCGATCCACATTCCGAGCCTCAGTCTCTCCCTCCTCCCACGGCTGACCACTCGACTGCATTTTTCGCACTCATCCAACACAGAGCGTCCAAGCCATTCCTCATCTAAAGCCTTTTATTGTGCCGTTTTTGGGGTATAAAATTCTATTGTTCTTGGAGCAAATATTAATAGAACAGATTGGGAATTGTGCTATGGCTTAGGAACGCTCTATTTTTCGCATTGATGCAAAATAATTGGAATCGGCACTACTGTCAAATAAAACTAGCTAGCATTGTGTCATTGATCAACCCGAAATTTTTCGTGCAAATTCTTCGGTAAAATACCAGGCTGTCGCGTAATCGGAAATTCCGCAGGTATTTGCAACACATGCAGTTATTGGAAAAGACAAATAACGCTTTCACTTACAAATTCGAAATTGTGATATATCAGATGCTGTTTATTTAGCGGTAATATTAGACCAAGTCAGTGAAAGTCGCTACACGGATTATAAAAATGCAGGTGACTTTTCTAAACTTGTAAATAGCTGGAATAATTTCTTAAAAACTTCAAGAAATCCAAATTAGACTTCTGAAAAAAGGTTTTTCTGGTGAGTGGCTGCGGCCACGCCCCTTTTTTCCAGAATTTCGGGTCCTGGGCCCGCAAAAATTCTCGGAAGCATCCTAAAAAATTTTCGGAGTGAGTGCTACGCTATGCACCCTTATTCAGAAAAATTTTTCGCTCTCCTCCCTCGAGCGGAAATCCTGAGACGCCAATGGACTGAGTATATTTGAACTGCGGCGCTTTATCCCATTGTTCGCAGCGTTCTTTTTGCACTTGTACCATATTTGGTGAAGTGGCACGTGGGACAACAATGTTTGCGTTGCGTGCGCATCAAATCCGCTCGCTTGCGACTATCGAAAGTTTTTGAGACAGGAATTTCCCGGCTGCTGTGGGCGACAAGTTCGTGCAGCTTTGTCAATTTTTTTGGTATGGCCTTTAATGTATCCTGAGCCCTCATTTCTTCTCCAAAGCGCGAGCTACAAATGGTTAATGGTCCATTGTAATCTATCCCAAAAATAATATTCTGAATGAAAATTAATTTTGAAATCGATGGGGAAAAATAGAGATAATAACAAAAAGATAGTAAAATGTGTTATTTTTTATCCCAAAAAAATGCTACAGCTTGTTTACCTCAAAAACTTGTAATTATTCCGGTTCTTGCACGACTCGTTCTCTTCCTGCCATTTTAAAAATGAGCTGAAGTATATGTCCTGCTCCATTTGTGTTCCCAAATTTAATGACGTCAGCTCATCTTGCCTTATCAGAACTCTGATCTACTATCAATGAAATTCAGGGTAAACAACATTAAAAGCACACTTGTTTGTGACATTCCTACGTTCGTCGAGCGTGTGCAAACAAATGCTCATTTTTAGCGACTCCGAGAGCCATCGATTCGCCCGGCTCTAGCACCAAAGGTTCTCCTTAATTTGTCCTCAGCACGCTTGTTGACTTCATTTCCGGTTTCTTTCCTAGTTCCATATTGTGTGGGGGCATTTCTTCAATTATGAGGGTGCGGAATGGAATTTACTCTTTGTGTCACATCTTCTGATTTCAAATTCAAAACCATAAAAGAACCGAGATGAGACTCCCCATAATTTGCGACTTTCTCACTCACTGCATTGAGCTTGTTTACCAAAACAAGTCGAAAGCTAATTCGACTTATACGGAAAGTTCTTACTGCATAACAATTCAGTAACTCATGGGCAAAACAAGGATTATTATTTCCATTCCGAGTTGGGCGCGCGAAAAAAATTCCCAAGCCCTTGTCCAGCAATATAACTTTCCTCGGGTGTAATCAAAGCCCAGTCAAAATTGTAACTCTTTTTTTTCTATGCCTCCGAAAAATAAAGATGTATTGCTAGAAAATTCTTGCAATAGGAGGGAAGGGGAGGCCGGGAGGGGGGAGGGGATTACAGGTCTCACCCATTCATGGGTAAAAGCATAAAAAACACGTAATGCGATCTCATTGTTTACTTGTATAGTAGGCCCATTATGGGAAATGCACATCCTCACTTGCGGCTGAAATGTGACAGGGGTATATAAAAAAATGCTCAATAATTATTCTTGAAAAGCAGCATTTTTTCTCTCGAATGACCCCCCCCCCCAAATGGCTCAAGATGCAATGCATTTCTTGTCCTACTTCTTACATAGCTACTTACTCCCCCCCCCCCCTCCCTTTGTTTTGCCAATTTTCATTAGAAAAAGCTTTTTGCTAAGACTGAGCACTGAGCTATGCGCTATTCTATCCAATATATCCTTGACCTTGCAAGAGTCCTTCAATTTGTGGTTCTCCTTGAAAACAGACGAATTTCGCTCGATCAATGGTTCAGCTGAAACACTAATGCTTATTTTCCCGTTTCCTTTCAAGGAAAACCCGAAGGATTCGATAAATAAACGCAAAAGTGCATGAAATTTTTTGTAGCAGTTATCATCCATCCACCAAAAATTGAGGATTCATATGAGTGATTTTGCTATTGACCGAAACTCAAATTTACCTTTTTTGTTTATCGAATTCCAACCGCATGTATCTCGCGATGGTCCAGTTTTTGAGAGGATTACCATACTTGTTTAACCACATAATACAATATCTATAGGTATTATACACTTACATATACAATCTCCGTCACGCTTCGCAGCTGTCTCGAATTTTAAACCTATCGTTTGTCATCCTCGCCATATTTCACAAATACAGATATACTACCAGTATGTCGGGACTTTCGCAAAAATCTCCGAGTAACTTGTACACAAGGGACCCCTCTGCTTTGCCAGTCAAAAAATTGGTTGAAACATACAATATCATTCTAATTTTTTCTCACTCTAAAACTCAAAATATTGCCTGGAACTTGTACATCTATCTATTTCTTTCTAAATCTGTAGTAGAACACGGAAAATGTTCTATTCAATATTTATATCCTAGCTTTTCCAAAACTTGTAAGAAAAACCAGTCAGTTATATGATTTGACACAGTAGCTAGCAGAAGCAACGATTGCAGATGGCTATCTGGTTGAGAACCAGTTCTCATCCAGTGCTAGTGTTTGCTAAAGTAAAAGAAATCTCTGTACTCTTTCTAGTCTAATATCTTGAGACTTTGAGAGAAATCACCTTGGCTGCGTCGTGTCTAAATTGTTTTTTCTGCAGAATGTATGTTCTTCCTGCTGCCAAAATAACTTCTTTCGTTTCAACCTTTGATGAATTTTTGCTTACTTATTACTAAAATTGGAGGTAACTTTCAAACTACTTCTGTTTATCCACTTTACTGCAGAAAGCCTCTTTCCCTATTTTCAGTTTTACAGTCCATTGTCAACAGTCGAATGAATAACTTGCTTTCTTGAACTAGCTTTGAAGACATATTCTACCAGCTCACTCTTGCTACTCTTTTCTCTGTTTCAGCTGTTACTCTGTTACCTTTATTCGTATATCAAATTACTCCTACTTGATTGAAAATTTTCAACACCAGGATCTAATTTAACATCACAATCCAAAACGAGCTCAGGTGGTAATTTACACTAGAAAAAAAGAATTCACACAGAAAGCTCTGGGTACAATTCATGACCAATCAATTCTCCTACCCTCCATGCTTGAGCACGTTATTTATTGGCCCAGCCTCAAATAATTGTTGAAGAGAAAATGTTCCTGATTTTTTTTTTGCTCAACAAATTATGAAAGACGAAATGACCGAGGGTTTCTAAAGAAATTTTTGCACTTTTCGGTGTCCACTAATCTCGCGGTGTGGTTACTCGAAATGAGAACCCAACGCAAACAGCTCTGAGTATAATCAATAGGTCAAAAAAGAGGGACTATTTAGAAGCTGCAAAAAAGGTTTATATTCACCCTTACATTGCCCCAGCTGTACAAAGAAAGCTCACAAAAATACTAGTTGTAATGTTAAGCCTAGTCATTTATTACACCCTCAATCATCTGGCAAAATTTTCACTTCGCGCGAAAGCTATTCGTCCTTTACCTATATAATTCTATCGCACTTCATCTGCAACTCTCTTCCCATCCGCTAAATCGACTCATTCCCATTGCATTTTCAGATGCATTAAAATGCGGCTATCGTCACTACGAGAGAAGGCTTTTCGCCTGAAGCACATTCCCCACGGGAGCTTAGAAACACAGCTGAGAAGATGTCTGACCACTACGGACATCACCCTTCTCGGCATTGGCCATATGATTGGAGCTGGAATCTATGTACTCACAGGTGAATTTTAAATTATCTATGAATGGAATGTCATTTGGAATGCTCGAAGTTGGTCAAAAACCAATAGTAGTATCAAAAATGCATATAAAACATGGGAAAGAGATGAGGGGACAGATGAAAAGACAGTTTGCGAAATTCTAGGGATTATTAGCTTTACTTTGAATTTCCCCAAATGTGACAGAAAAAGCAAAGTCGACAAAATCGTCCTATCGGGACAGCAAGTCAGGAATTGCGTAGATCAACTATAAAGAGTAACTAATTGTTTTTATAAATTTCGAGTCCCACTTTCTCTTCAACATCCATAGTTTCATTTTACATTAGTTCGTTATACACAACAATCGATTAGTTTTTTTCTAAATTTAGTCTCATCAACGTACAAATCACATGGTAGCTGTAAAAAATTATGGAAATGAGTTTATTTTTCCGATAGTTTTTTAGGCGTTGATTTTTCAGTGAAAATCAAGCCAATATGTTATTTTTAAATTGAGGAAGCCTCGGTTTAGAACAAAAACATTACCCCTTCCAGGATCTGTTGTTCGTAATACGGCTGGTCCATCTATTGTGCTATCCTTCTTACTCGCTGGAATCGCCTCCTTACTGTCCGCACTCTGCTATGCCGAATTTGGTGCTAGGTCTGTTATCTTTCACTTTTAGCACTCTAAAGAAAGGATTTTCTAGAGAGAAATTAGTTTTGCTTTTTAGATTTCCAAAAGCAGGCAGTGCCTATACTTATGCTTATGTTAGTGTTGGCGAGCTCTGGGCTTTTGTAATTGGTTGGAATATCATCTTGGAGCATATGCTCGGAGCAGCGGGTGCGGTATTCTTCTCCTTCCTACCACAGTGGTGGAATAGCATTTGAAAATGAAGTTTTTCTAGCTGTGGCTCGTTCTTGGTCTGGCTATTTGGACTCCTTGCTAGGGAATGTTATCTCTAACACTACCATTGAACGAGTAGGACGTATCCAGGTTCAAAAATTTATTTGCGATGTTCGCTTACAAATTTTCTAGTTTAGAGCTCGTCCTTCTTTGGTGATTATCCTGATGTGGTCGCTTTCATCCTCATAGTCGTCGTTGGAATCTTTGTTGCCATGGGTTCGAAAGCTTCCACCAATTTCAATTCAATGTTCACCGTTGTGAATATGTTTGTGAGTGATTTTATACCACATACAAGATTTGAAATGTGTTCTTTGTATAAAAGATGGCTTATTATGGGAAGCTAAATACACAGGTGTCCTATTAACTATTCCATCACTTTATCTTTTGAATTGATCGTATGTTTCTATGGAGCTATTTTTTGGGAAGGTTTTCTGTTTAGATTGGCCATAAATAAAGTGATTTAAAAAATACAGAAAAATAACGAAAAATTATTTGAATATAAATGAGAGTTTTCAGGTCATAGTTATTGTGGTTGGCTATGGTATAACATTCGCAGACTTTTCGCTATGGAGTGGCACTGATGCTGAGGGTAAATCAAAGTGAGTTCAGTCCGATTTAGGCATATTTAAAGTATAGAAAAGTCTTATAGTTTCTTCCCATATGGCGTGAATGGTATGCTGGCCGGTGCAGCGTCATGTTTTTTCGCCTACATCGGCTTCGATGGACTAGCTACCGCAGGAGAAGAGGCTAAAAGTGAGTTTACTGTCTAGGTTCGGTTCGATCCATTTAGAATTTAAAAATGCAAATTTATGCGAAATATGACAGAGGAACGTCATTTTGCCTTGGAGTTCAAAAATGAATATCCACCGTCATCCTTTCGTGGCATACTTATGGTAAAACACCAACTCCAGTTTTATCTTGCTATGCATCCCGCTCTTTCGAGGGGATTCCAAAAATTATTCAATACTCACAAAATGCACCTTTGCACGGAAATCTTTAGTAAAAGGCGAAAGATTTTCTCGGTTAAATGCAAAGGAGCCAGAGATAACAACAGATCGCTCACTGGGGGGTGGTCCACCCTGCAGCGCCGTATCTGCCGCTGTTTGCGCCAAACTGCGTAGCGCGTGGTAATGACGGGTAAACAACATAAAAAGGATATAATGCACTTTTATCTCATAATCAGTAGCCTAAGTAGCACTATGCCATAAGCCCAAGAGAAATTATGAGAAAAATCTTCAGTAGTGTTACTTTCACTACGTCCTCAACATTGGGGTAATTTTTTCGAACACGTTTTATAACTGAGATTTCCGAACTGTTTGCCCACACATTACCTTCGGAATACCAAGAGTGTGATTTTTTACAACTCAAAAAATTCGTTTTATTCAGAGGCCCTCAGTGAAGGTAACTCGGTAAATTCAAATGGACAATTGACCACGAGGGTCAATAAAATAAGAAAAAATAGATTAAATAAAAAGTAAAGTAGAACACCTTGAATATTATTGCATTCGACTTTTTTAAAGCCTTTTTAAGCATGTAAAATTCTTCAAGTTACTTTATTGGGTGATATAATGGTCGTTATCCATTGCTAGACTTCAGAGATTCCTTATATCTTGATCTCCAATATAAGAAAATGCCCATGCTAATCTTCTTCCATGAAGAACCTTACAAAAGAAGATGAACAGCGCGCTAAATGATAGGGCTAGGTCTCTAAACGTGAAATTCTTATAAATTCATAGACCACACTACCGCTATCTAATAATTAGGTTGGGTACAGGCTGTTTGTTACATAATGCTGTTTTGTTCTGATACCGCTCTTTTTCTTCATTGCAGGTATTAAAATATCACGACAATATTAATTTTTATAAAGCCATACTATGTTTTTGCAACCCTCAAAGCAAATAAAGCTCAGAGTCTGAATGATATCCAATGGATATTGGAGCTATGTATAATTTGTAGAACGAATCCGACATTGATTATTATAGCTAAGTGATTGAATTTTTACAAACATTGTCATTTTGGGGGTTTTTCCAATCAATATTCTATATTTATACTTTAACGTATTTTCCATATTCAGCAGTTCTTACCCACTAATTCACCTATGCTCTGCATCCCGCTCTTTCGAGGGGATTCCAAAAATTATTCAATACTCATAAAATGCACCTTTGCACGGAAATCTTTAGTAAAAGGCGAAAGATTTTCTCGGTTAAATGCAAAGGAGCCAGAGATACCATCAGATCGCTCACTGGGGGTGGTCCACCCTGCAGCGCCGTATCTGGCGCTGTTTGCGGCAACTGAGTAACGCGTGGTAATGACAGGTAAACAACAGGTACAATGCACTTACCTCAGTAGCCATAGTAGCATCGTGCCAAAAGCTAAAAAGAAATCATGAGAAATTCTTCAGTAAAACGTTAGGGTAATTTTTTCGAATATATTTTCTAACTGATATTTTCCGACTGTCTGTTTACACATTAACTGTGGAATACCACGAATGTATTTCTTTTGATAACAACCAAAAAATCCTCTTATTCTGAATATCCTCAGCAACGATAACACTTTGCTGGAATCAAATGGAAAATTGAACTTGACGAACAAATTACAAAATAAAGTAGAACACATTAAATACCATCCAAGCTTTGAGAAAAATGGTAAAAATAAAATAAAGTAAATGCGATAAAATCACTCATGCCCGATTTATTCCTTTAGCTTTTTCAAAGCTTTTGAACATCTAAATTTCTTCGAGTTACTTCACTGGTCGGCTACTCCAAATCCTAAACTAATTCTGAGTCATGCCTCCCGGATATTCTACAGGTAACAGTATTCCTTCTCTGCATAGGACTTCAAAAAGCGTACGTTATATTTTTGTGGAAGCTCGCGTCAAATTTTCAAGTTTACAGATCACGTCTTTGTCATCTGATAGACTAGTTTAGTAGAGGCCGCGGGTTAAATTAGCTGTTATGTTCTGATACCCATTTTCCTATGCATTAGATTTCCGATTTTTGTTTATTTTTGCACAGCAACACCAAAAGCTTCGAAAACAATTGGGACAGGTGTATCCATAATTTCCAATGAAGTGGGAGCTAGGTTTATAAGCGATCCCGAGATTAATAATTCTAGCGCCTTACGAATGCTCATATCTCTGCAAAATTCACGATTTTTTCTTGTACTGCTAAGAATGTTCGAAAGTAATACTTGGTTCTAGTTCACATAACGCGGTCGACGAAGTCAATTGAATATTTTAACAACTTTCATTTCTCAGTGTACCTTATTCACCATTCTCTTGCATCCCGCTCTTTCGAGGAGATTCCAAAAATTATTCAATACTCATAAAATGCACCTTTGCACGGAAATCTTTAGTAAAAGGCGAAAGATTTTCTCGGTTAAATGCAAAGGAGCCAGAGATGTCATCAGATCGCTCACTGGGGTGGTCCACCCTGCAGCACCGTATCTGCCGCTGTTTGCACCTGGCTGTTAGCGCGCAGAAATTCTGAGCAAACAATATAACGAAAAAACAAGCTGGCAAGAGCTAGGTAAAAAAAATTAGTAGTAATTATTTTCATTATCATTATCAAGATTCTCATTATTATTGTTATTATTATAGTAATATTTTTTTGTTTTTATTTTTATTTTCATCATTATTTTTTATTATTGTTGTATTAATGTATTATTTGTTATTTTTATTTTTATTATTTACTATCATTATCATTATTAAGACCAATATTATTACTATTCTTGATGAAAAACCACAAAATAAAGTCTTTTCATGCTGTCGTCAATATAATAATCGCTTTGCCGATATGCTAGACTGTTTGGTCATCGTTCCCGTATTATACGCATTGCTGTTTGAGATTAGAGCATGATACCGATTTTTGGATTATCAAAAAGCTTTGGTTGTTTTCGAGCCAATTGAATATCTATGTGTGGATGAATCAGACTAAGTTGTTGAAATTCAAACCTTTTTTGCCCTCCATTTATTCGCATAAATCGGAAACTGGGAGTTTACCAGATTGGGTTTCTATTACTTCACATTTGTTTTTTTTTTCGCTTATCATTCAAATTGCTCGAGTTACTCCGATAATTGACCCATAATGGTCGCTATCAATTTGCTAGAACACCCAGATTTATAATTGATGCCCACGTTCCCTGTGGGTGTGCCAAAAACACAAGTCGCCTTCACTGTTTTTCTCCGAGCCGGCAGGATACTCGCGAAGCTAGATAAAATTGCAAAGTAGGGTCCGGAAAGTGAAAATATTATGTGGTTTGGGAATATCTCCTTGTCATGGCCTTTTGGGTCGAAAACGCTGTTGGCTAAACTCATGTCAGCTTTTTGATCTCTTTTTCATACTTTTCATCACGTACTACATAAGGATATTCAGTTCCAGCGAAGTATACTAGGTTATCTCGGATAAAAAAAAATATTCGGCATTTCAAAAGAAAAATAACGGCATCAGAATAAAACGCATACCTAGGCCACTGTTAAACTCGAAATGATCCGGGTTCACAAACGTCTATATTCTCCTCAGTGCATACTTGAGCTAGGTGATATTTTAGAATGAGCTCTTCAGAAAATCCACACTTCTGAACTTGTCAATTGAGAAGTTTCATTGAGCTTTGAATAATACTACGTGTTTCTAGTACACATCAAGCAGCCAATGAATAATCTAGCACCTTTCCCACCATATTCTATTAGTACCATTTGCATCCCGCTCTTTTGAGGGGATTCCAAAAATTATTCAATACTCATAAAATGCACCTTTGCACGGAAATCTTTAGTAAAAGGCGAAAGATTTTCTCGGTTAAATGCAAAGGAGCCAGAGATACCGGACCAACGGTTAGGGGTTACCTATATGCAGCAGCGGCGTACCTGTCGCTGTTTGAAGAACACCTGTTAACGCGCACCTGGCTGGCGGGGGGGGGGGAGAAAAAGCGTTTCGATGCAGAGAGTGCAGTTTATTGATATTATGGACGAAAATCTGATATTTTTAGGATAGGCTTACCTTAATCCTACATATTCCTCTTGAAATGACGAATTCTTTCAAATATAAGAAAATTCCCCGTTTCAGACCCATCCCGTTCCATACCAATCGCAACATTTGCATCGATGACCGTCGTTACATTTGCTTATATTGCGATGTCAGCATCTCTAACGCTCATGGTGCCATACTATCAGGTACCCATATTTTTACAAAGAAATGTAAAGAAGAAAATTTAGGATAAAATCTTAGGTGCACCCCACGGCCGCATTCTCAGACGCATTTGCACTTAGAGGTTCTAGCCTGGCCAAATTTGCAGTATCGGTCGGAGCACTTTGTGGAATGATGACTAGTCTGGTAGGTTCCAAGGCTTCTTGAAAACAGAAATAGATACTCTTTTTAAATAGGATCAAAAAGAATGTCAAAAAATCAAACGCTAGAAAACGCTTTTCCTTTTGGGAATAAATATCTGCGTTGGATTTTTGGAAAAAAATACGATTTGAATATGTTCATGAAAGGTTGGCATTTCTCCCATTCCATTCCTCTACCGCTCCTTATTTATAGGACATTTTAGAAATTTGAATTATTCACATGTATAGAAAATAGCGTGACTTCTTTCAATTCGCAATCATATGAAATAGCATTTGAATGGAAAACCTATCAAGAGAAAAACTTAGGGTGTGGCTGGCCTATACATGACCATTTGTAAATTCTTTCTTTTGTTGACCTTCATCAAAATACCAGAAAATTTTTTAAAAGTTAGTCACCCCGAGCTTCCCTCCCCTTAGAACTTTTTACTTCTTCTCGTCCCCGAAATTTCTGTGAGCTGTCCCAGAATATCAGTGTTCTAAGACGTAATAATTCTAGGTTGGCGGTATGTTCGCATTGCCTCGCTGTGTGTTTGCAATGGCTGAAGATGGTCTATTGTTCGATTCATTAGCCCACGTGAATGGCAAAACGCAGGTAAAATTCTGTGGGAAATTATCTTTCAAATTTTTATCTTCAGTTTGAGCACAGATCCTCAATTCAAACATATTTGACTTACATGCGTAAAGCGGCCACCATACTTGGCACTGAATAAGTTTCAAGCCGAAGCAGGATTGGTGCACTAAACGGCGCGCTCTTGGCATTTGGCGTTGCGTACGCAGATATCGTGACGTAAGCGGCAGATGCGCATTTTCAGGGCAACAGTTCATGTGCCTTTCGAATATGGAGACGATTCAGATAAAATATTTCACCTCTGATAAAAATCTTCAAACCTTCTTCGTCCCAAATAATTGTTCATCTTTCCTTTCAGGTGCCAATAAATGCAGTGCTCGTGTTCGGCTCTATGACAGCAATTATCGCATTAGTTTTCGACATTGAAACGTTGGTCGAGTTTCTCTCAATAGGCACGCTTCTTGCCTATTCAATCGTCTCAGCTTGCGTGATCATACTTCGTTACCAACCAGCTCGTTATCAAGAAGATGGGGCATTCGATAATGGTAGGTTTGGGAACTCCTCTTAGACTGCGTCCAGAGTTGCTTGTGCCAGGGCCGTTCAATATTTTCTAAGAGTATGGTGAACAAGGGGTGGTTAGTTATGAACAACTTTGATCTTTTGATTTTGAGGCTTATGTTTTTATTTGAATTTTTCCGTGCTAGGGCTGTGCAGTGCCGTTGATCGATCAATACTGTGCGTGTCCACGTGGGCGTTGGCGCGAAGGCGGCACACGGGCAACTCTAGACACATCTAGCAAACCGTGAAAATTTCATCCCTTGTTGTAGGAGGAAGACTACGCTTCACAATTCCTGGCAGTGGAATTCTGGAGAAGCTGGATCCAGGCCACGCAGTTCACTATGGTGTAGCAGTGATGATGGTTGGCTTTGTGGGAGTTGGGCTTTGTTTCAGTTCAGGTAATTACCCCCCCCCCCCCCTTTGAAGATATTTTTTCAAACCCCCGCACAACCAACAGCAATGAATTTTCTAGGACATATCGATTCGAAAATGGGAATGGCGACATTATCCTTTTTTGCTGCATTGGCCATAGTTTCACTAATATTCATCATGTGTCATCATCAAAATTCTACACAACTGGATTTCAAGGTTAGAATAACTAGTCAACTAGTTTATATGGGTGGAGAAAGTTCCACCATTTCAATTGTTCCCGACAAGTTTTCAATTTATGTCCATACTCAGGTCCCGCTGGTTCCACTTGTTCCAGCCCTAAGTTTGATGATTAATACTCTGATGATGTTACATCTGGCACCGATCACATGGCTTCGGATTGTTGTTTGGATGACCATAGGTACAATGCTAAACTTTTATTGTATTACACAAAACAAGACCCGTGCCGTTAATTCACTGAGAATGGCTGTGATAGAAGGCGGTGTCCAAACAAATTTGGCACCTGGATTTCTTGAGTGGAAACTATTTTTGAGGCTGTAACTAAGTCTCTACCCAAGCTGCAGCTCAAAAGATCCATTCATAAAAGAGAAATTCAACTTCAAACTCTAGCCCAACACCGTACCCTCTCCGAAGAATACGGTAGCGGGTTAGAATTCAGAGTTGATTTTCTCGGCCAAGAATGAGTCATATGAACTGTCGCTTGGGCAATGGCACAATTAAGATATCATAATTAATTTCCACATGCTCAAAAATCAATAAAAATGCACAAAATTCGATCAATTCCAGGTATGAGTATCTATTTTGGATATGGCATTCGTCATTCACACGAAGAGGTATTGCCATCGTCCCCAGAGGCTCGTTTTTCGAAAAGCAGCACATATGATTCGGTCGTATCGACAGCAACAGCTGCGTCGTCGTAATCCTAGAACACAAGACAGATCGATTTCGAATGTGGAAGTGGAAACAACAGCGGAGAAAAATACAAAAACGTGGGAAGAAATCGAGAAGCTATTGAACCTTCAATATTTTCATGCATCTATACAAATCATGCACAGTGTTGTGTTTTATTTTCGCTTGTATCTTTTTCATTTCAAGCTTCAGTCCAGCCAAACTAACGAAACATCCACAAGAGTAGGGAAGCATATCTCTAATTTTGATCGGAACGATCAATACGCGTAATCTCTGTTCTAGTCTCAAAACGGTTGAATTTGGCTTCTTTTATGCTCGTGGCTTCTACTCAATTGGCCAAGGGGAAGGAGCTGATGAAAATCTTTCGTACAGCGCGCATCTGGCGCTCAAATGAGATTCATTGGTACGCTTATGAAAACAATTCCGGCAATATGCATGATGACGGCACATTACGAACCCATTTCTAGTTCTTTTCTTTTCTCATACGGATCATATGTGAGTTCAAAATGCCAGAAAATATTTGCATTTTAATTTTCGCTGCATCGGTGACGGGAGGCTCCGCCCCTTGTCACGCCCATTTTTGGCTTTCCCTCACAGCTTCTTTTTATTTGCGATATCCTTGAAAATTGCAAAAAAGAGGTTACTGCTGATCCAGCTCCAAGCATAAAAGGCTCGCATTGAATACCACACTTATAGTCAGCTCACGTGCGGTCGCGTCGCGTAAGGCTAAAGTATTGCATTTTGGGCGTAATTTTCAAACGCAACATTTCAGTCTCCTCTTGCGCGTATTATAAAAAATCACTAGAGAAAATTTACTGTAAGAGACTGAGTAGAAGCCTTCCGAGCTTGTCTGCTGTGTATTAGAACCACTTGTAAGCACATTTCTTCTATCATTCCTGTGCATATCACTATTTTGACAAATAATAAATCTCATCTGTACAGGACAATAGCACAAGAGACCACATGCGAAACTAAGGCCATCATTTGAACATTTATAATTCGCAAAAAATAAACACACCAAGGACAATGAATTACCAAAAAAAACATTACACTTTCGGTTTCACATAACAAATAATAACGGACAAAAAGTATATAGATACCAGGAACTGGAACTAAACAACATGGCAAGGTTAGTGATCGGTAACAGATCAAAGCGGGATGCGTGTATGTGCATGGACAGGACAGGAAATAGAGCTGTTTTTTGTGCGCGGACGAAGTTCCGGACCAGCACAGGCAAGACAGTTCAGTTCATTCCCAGCTCACCGAACAGATACATAAAGGCTTTTAGGCAAGAGAATGATGTTCACAGTGAGAAGGAGGCGGCAAGAGTAGGCAAGAGTCGGAGTAGCATAGAGATATCGTATCTATAGCTGAACATCAATGACACACCAACCACAGATAAGGGGGGTGGAAAGAAGACATCTACGAAAAGAGAGAAGACACACCGAGACCGGCAAAAAATACATGGATAATGTTAAAAAGCAGAAAAATGAAGCAAAAATGCTCTGGCTTATGAGAGTGGCTAGACAAATCAGCGCCACTGGTAACTCATATTGATAGATGGGGAGATAGATAGGGAAGCTCTAATCACTAAAGGTAGCCTATGTATAGCCAATAAGAAAGCCGATGCTACTTGCAAGCAGGTAAAGTCAATAAATTTTCCGCTCAATATAGTGTGATTGTGATGGAGACATAATGCGGCAAAACTTGCGCGTGAACACATATTCGCACCTGTAGTGCCGGCCACTTGCGCGCGCAGGGTACCGGCATTACTGGCATGACTATTCTGTTCACGCGCAAATTTCACTGCAAAATTTCGGCACCGCACTTACACCATATTTAGCATAAACCTTACTGGACTGTTAATTGCAAGCAACCTCGTTCAGAAAACCATCAGATACATAGACTTTACACAAACTTAGATTGTAAACTAAAAGTGGCACTTTTAACACTGTGCTTTCAACCCCCACACATCCATCAAACACGACAGCACTGAACGAACAGAAAAAAAAGACCGCGCAGCAGCATTCGAAAGCGAGCTTAGTGCTAGGAAAAAAAAGCGAACTCAATTGCCGTAGCAACAGCTGGCCAGATAGTGCTGACGTGGGTTGATGAACTGCTGGAAGCAACACAGATGTGGAACGACAAAACGTAAGAGTAAAAAAAGGCGAGAGCATTCGTAGCGTTGTACATCGTTGTGAACGACGCGACACGAAGTAACGCAACGGTGACGGACGTAAGGTACGGACCAGACGAGGGACCAGGTGCACAGCGCAGATTTCAGCGGATCGCAGCTCTACACATAAGCTGCGCAGAGCTGCGAAGCACTGCCATAGCGTCTGGGTACGCGGATCACATAGACATTACAATCCCACCTAAATCAGAGCTTACAGTTTCCTTCTCGCTCTTGATATCGCTTTCACATCATATTTGTCCCATCCAGGATTATTTCGCGTAGTATGATGTGCCTAACATATGAGTAACCTCAACGCCTGCACACTCGCGCAATTGCGAATCACACGATTTGGCAAGTTGCCAGATGGCGCGCGTGCGGATTGCCTAGTGCGCACACCTCTGGTAATTTCAAATCGCGCAAAGTATGAGCAAGTTGGTGGTTCATTGGCAAACGATGCACTTTTTTCTGGAAGGAGAGGGGAGGGGGCGGCCACCATTTACCCTTCGCTTTTTCGCATGAAAAGAATTCGAGAATATGCAAATGTTCGCAACATGTCAATCGTAACTTGACTTTTTATATGTGCGATAAGAAATCCTGTTCCTGTTCGTGTATATTCGACTCATTTGTAACTTGATATGCGTATTGCACACCATGCGCGCTACTTGACGGCTTGTAGAATTAGAATCCAGTTCCAGTTATGTATTCTTGGGTTCTTGCCTCTCTGGTTTGACTGGATATAGGTATATTAGTTAGAAAGGTGCATTTCTATAGTTTCTTACGCTGGAAAATACTTTATTAAGGAGTTATTGGTAAAGGCGTCGTCATTGCCGCGATAGTGTGCAGTCTCTCAAATCAAGTTGCAAATGACTTGAAGTCTCAATCCACTATCAGAAAACAGGACGCCTACTATTTCTACATTCCAAGATGTTGAATATCACTTTACTTTGTAATTCTGGTTGAGACAAATATGACTCCTCTCACTTTTATACATATAGCTTTTTACGATGTTAAACAACGTTTTCAAGAATCAATATACGTACCTTACATCCCTCACGAATGTTCTATGCCGTTGCTTTCGGATACGGATGGCTTCGCTCATTTTTCAGTTGCACTTTCAAACGCTTTGATCCGATTTGGAAGCCATTCATTGCGGCAATAGCATTTTGTGCCGAAACTGCATTGTCGTACGAAACGAATCCTGTAACGAAATCTATTTAGCGGCGACAGCAGACAATCAGCGACAAATGCAACATGCAAAGCACTCACCAAAGCATTTCGATAGATTTGTTACTTTGTCTATGAACACTTTGGCAGATAATACTGTTCCAAAAGGTGAAAAGGTAGTTTGTAAGTCGGAATCTCCAAAGTCCTGGAACAGCAGGATATCCGAGTGGGATTTTAGAACATCGTAACTATAGTCGATTTGAACTTGATATGTGTACTGCACACCATGCACGCTACTCGACTTGTAAAAAGACAACCTGCTCATTTCCAGAACCAGTAAATTCTCCTAATTTCCTTCTCTCTTTTGATTCGAGTTTACATTAGCTAGTAAAACACATTTCTACACTTTGTTACGCAAAAAGGGTTTCACTGAAGAGTTAACAGTAAGCGTGTCGTCGCTTGCCGCGCATAGTGTGCAGACTCACATATAAAATTACAAATGACTCATGGATAAGCGGGCACTTACCTGAGGCAAATGATAGATGAAAAGATTGGATCCCTCAGGACCTTTCACATCTCCATTTCCGGCAGCAGGAACAGAGACCTGCGCACTCTGATTGATCTGATTTGCCAAAGCGTTCACTACAAAAACTTATCTGGTCAAAAAAACCGAAGAAAAAAAATCTCAAATAGTAAAGTTCAAGAAACAGCAAATGATATTAATAAAACAAAAATAAAATGTCACTCACACGTATATTGCTGCATAGCTTGCTGGTAGGGATCAATTCCGGTGGCTCCCGTAGCTCCAGCAAGTTGCGCCGTGAATCCGGTACCAGCCGTGGACAACGCGGTACCAACAGGGGATGCAGCTTTAGCAGCAACAACTTGAACACCTAAAATTCATCACTTCATCCTGGGAACAACTTTCAGTTTGAGCACTCCATCAGACAAAACTCCTAACCATTTGTAGGAGTGCTTTGGTAAATGGGAGCTAGTTGCGCTGCAAATGGGGCCGACACCGCTGGCGTCGATACACCTCCAGTCGCGTAACCGTATGCGGATAAATCGCCTGAAGAAGGGTAACAACTTCTTCAGATGCATCAGCGACGACGGATTTTTTCACATAGAACATATTTCGCTGAATGGGACGCACAAATGGTGCCATGCAAATAAGCGAGCGGCATGCTACCCCGACATACCCAATTCGAATAATATTACATTGATGAAGAAAATTCACTTTTACAGACTGACATGCACACATTTCACAGAATTTTGTATATCCCATTCAACAACACGAATATACCATGATTGTGGGCGGGGAAGTAAATGTATTTGCCTGAGCGCCACTTCATTTCGTTGCTCCCCATATCTGGAAGGGTAGAGGATTTATCCCACAATATAGTTCACCATCCTTTCTCTTTCGTTACACTTCAGGAAGTCCAGACTAAGCCACTGGTCAAAGTCAAACAGAAGCCCATATGATCTATTCGTGACCGAGGAAATGCAAATCTGATGTCTCGCCCAGACCGTACCCTGCCAATTACGGTATCGAGACTGCGGTTTGCGCAAGATTTTACAGTCTGAATTTCTCGGTGAAGAATGAATCGTATGAGCTGGCGCTTGGGCGATGGCTTGATCAACACCTCCCAATCAGCGCCCGCGTGAGAAAGCCGGTTGGACTGCAGTTGCCTTCAAGTCATATTTAAAAGGTGTCGTACCCATTACACATTTTCGCACCAGCGGTGCTTTTCCAGATCATTGGCCCAAAGTGCCTGAGCAACACGATAATTTGTACTTTCACAGCCATTATTGAACGTCTAACAATACGAAAGTGCAAAAGGCAGGGGCGAAAAAAAAACGAGCTTAGATGAAATACGCTCTGCGCAAATAGCCAATCCTTCGCCCCTTTTTTCAACGGCTACGTACGTTTGCGCATCAGTTTCTCAGCACTGCATGCACAATTTTTCATCGTCCCTCTGTATAATGTACAAAAAACAGAAAATGAGAGTGTATACTATTCTTAATCGAATGCATTACGCATATTGATAGATAGTGTATACGAAAGGCAGCTGGGTGTACTTTTAGAGCTACCGAAAATCAAAAGAACAAAATCGGTACGCAAACCAAATACCAATCATAAAATTTGAATAATTCAAAATGATAAAAACACACCAGCTGCTTGTGCTTGTTGTGCCTGAGCTTGCATGGCTAGGAGCTGTTGCTGCTGAGCTGCTTGAGCTTGCGCGAGCTGTGCTTGTTGTAGCTGAGCTTGCTGGAGCTGGGCAATTGACTCGAAATTCTGAGCTTGGATCGGGGTCTGATGCAGAAAAGCCGCTGAAAATTTAAGTTCACAATAAAAAAATCAACTGCTACAAAAACATCGACCATATATCATGCCCCTGAGTACGTGCAGATTATTTCGTACAACTTTCACTGAGAAAATATGCGCAACTCGCTAAGCTTGCCGAGTATTGGGTTAAAGCGAACAGAAAGTGATGGTAGATAGTAAAAGAAAGGGGTTAGGGAATAATGGCTATGGTTACCCGCGGCCAAAACATGTTCATCACAACATACCCAACTACAACATACAATAAACAAAATTAGGAATAGATATCTTTTTGAACTTAACTTTCGCAAACATGCAAGATGGCAGCAAGGAAAGGCAGCACTAAGAAAGGTTCAGCAAGGATACGAGTCTAGCGACTTTATCCTTACACCAAGCGCACCATCACAATTACGCCACGAAGGGTACGGTAGCGAACGTCTGCCAGAATCACCTTTTGTAAAAGTATGCGCAAATGACAAAGCTCGGTTAATCTTTGTTTCGATTGGCTTGGCGGCTGGAAGGCAGGGCCTTGTGACCTAATTGTGGCCGCTCGCGCCCGCGACGCGACTCTGTCTCTGTCGTGCGTGCGCTCTCTGATCTGATCATTATCCAGCCTTAATTGGGTCACGAAGCCCTGCCTTCCAGCCGCCAAGCCAGTTGAATCAAAAGGTAGTTTACATCTTCTTCATAATGAATCAAATCAAAATCAAAAAAGGAGTCTTTTATGAACCCAAGACAGTGTTCAAGCAAATACCTGGTCTTCCTACGCGGGAACTGATTAAGAAGCTAGAACCTAGCTACTGCCCATGCGGCAAAATCATTCGTCGCTGTGGAGGCCAACTACAAATTCTTGTCCATTACCGTACTCCTTCCGAGCATTGCTCATGAGTACTGTACCGGGCAAGAATTCGGAGTTGGGTTTCCAGACCTCAACTGATTCATGTGAGCTGCTGCTTGGGCAATGACCTAGCTGAAAACTGTAGAAAACAACGAAATTCTCTACAATGATGCTTTGGTCTATGTAACATCAAGCTTCTTCTTCTAGCGACACCATGGCTGGCTCATACGCTCTTCTAAGATTCGTGAATTTATTAAGCATTCATGCCTCAACCAGTAGAACACATAGTAAGTCCAGGTACCCACATTTGCTTGCACACTGTTTTTGAAACAACTATTCAAATTTTTCAAGATACATGTCATTTTACAGTCAGCTGCTAAACCCTTTGTGATTCTGGCTGACGATGCAACTCGCTCTTTCTTCAAACTAAGAGTAAGATCACAGCAGTACTAGCATTCACGACGAGGTTCACATTTACCTAGCTGTGCCTTGCCAGCAGCGCTGTGCCCGTTCTGCATTAGAGCAGTCGGGTTGCCACTTACTGCACCGGCTGCGGTTGTATTTACCGCACCGGAACCCCCTTCCGTCAGCTTACCCAATGCCGATAGCACTAAAACTGATATTTGAACCTAAATCAACTGGAAATGCCTATCAAACGGGTAGATTACAAACCTCCGCCAAGCATTCCTAACAGATTCTGCTGCTGAACTTGAACTCCAGGATTGAACAACGCAGCCAGAGCGCTCAAGGCTTGTAGGTTGATTCCACCTCCAGAAAGCTGTAATAAGCAAACATTGTGCATGTATCTTGCACACAAAGGAGTAGCCAAGCAAATCTGGGTAGCTGGAATCAGAACGCTGACTGCTAGGCTCTAACTAAGCCATTGCCCAAGCGGCCTTCCATATGTTTGATTAGTGGCCGAGAAATTGAAGTCTAAACTCTCGCTCAACACGTACTCAAAAACGTCGATTCGAAAAGAGTACGGTACTGGGCGAGAGTTCAATTTCTCCGCCACGAATAAACCATAAAAGCTACGCTTGAACAACGCCTTCGTCAAGGCATCTAATCAGTCTACACCATAAAGATGCAAGAGATGCCCACACACTGCTTCCAATAACAAAAAAATCTACCTGCTGCAAGAGAGCAGCTTGGCTCCCTAAAGATGCCAAACCCGTCGCCGCGGGTGTAATGCCTGTAGCAGCTGATGCAGGCATCTTTTTCACTTCCTTCTCTCTCTGAGTGTCGGCAAATTTAACCACTAACGGCGCAGAGCAACCCTATAAAAACTTGTCAATATTGTTCTCAAAGATGAGCAGTTGGCATGAAATGTGTAGCAATGCAGCTCTAAAAAAACAGCGATTCTGAGACGACAATGTTAGCCCATAGACTTGAAGGTCTAGTATATTCTCACAGGATCAAGAGTTCATTGAAATATAAATCACCCAACCGTATGTAACGTAAGGAGCAGAACGTGATGCAAAATTGCATAGCGGATACATTTGTGGCGCTTTTTGAATAAAGAAGACATTTATTCACACATATATCATCCTATACCTTCGGGTACGGTAGCATACCTAGCGGTGCAAAAGGGTTGCTTTCTAAAAGCGACTAGATTGTGTAGACAGAGTAAGGAACTTAATAATATCTATCTATACTTACATTATGTATTAACATGAAAAAGGCTTTTCAATTACGTCTTTTGATGAAACATTTTTTTATTTCTCAATCCTTTGACGTGGTTTCATTGCTAATGAGTTCGACTGCCTATGACAGCCGCTTCCGGATCATCAAATTACTTCATTACACATGCTCCAAGCTTAAAACAAGCCTTTCTACCAAAAATGAATTACTCTTATCTTCAGAAAATTGACCTAACATGTGAGTAATGGACTTTCCATTTTATGGGACAATATATTATCTTAGCATCCCAAACATCTGAAATAAGTAAATCCCCTTTTTGCGATAGCTTTCTTTCGTTATAATCAGACTAACCAGGTATATAAGAAAATATTGTAGGCTATAAATTTGCCTATTTCGAGTAGTAAACATGAACAAGCAATTACAAAAGACATACGTAAACATGCACACCCGCACAAACCTCACATGAATGCGCGCTCATTTTGCATATAAATTACGACTATGAAGTCTCATGGAAGAGTGACTGTTTCTCTAAAGAGTAAACACAGACGAAGGCCACAAATCCTTCACATCAGCAAATCTTTGCAGATACTAAAACAAACGAGATATGGCGCCACATGTACAGACTGTCTCAATGTGAGTGTCAAAGCTCCAGCGGCTCGAGGTCCCACGCAACGTCTCGCTCTTTCGCCGCGTTTGCGAACGTATCCTTTAGCTTGGCAACATTCAGTCTCTGCCAAGTCCTAAGAATAAGCGCGTACGCGGCGCAAGACCTAAAGCGAGGCAGCCGCGAAAACCATAGACACAACAGCTGTGACACTCATGTTGAGACAGCATATGAGTGATATGTGTGGTGGTTTGAAAAACGAACGAGGAGAGAAGTGAGCCATAAATGGGAACTGAAACGCTACCTCCATTGTGGTCGAGTGATGCATATCTTTGATAGCTGCCAATGCACTCGTGCGAAGTGTATACGTAACGAACGCGCATCCTGTAAAAGACGCCAAGCTCACATAACGGACACAACAAGTGAGATTGAGATGAGAGAGACCATTTTCTAGTACAAACAGTATACAGGGCACAAGGACTGCCTCTCCGGAACCACTTTTTATGTATAGGATAGATATCGGGGGGAGGAGTGGAATAAGAGGCGACATGTTAGTGAAGCTGTGAGATATTTGACAGACTATTCCATTTCGAGATTCGACTCATATCAAGACCAAAGTCCAGCCTCTGTTTCTCAGAAATTTCCTTACTTAGAAGTGTACCTCTTTCGTTCGCGGGTTGCTCATGATCGCAGAACTCAATGGTGCTTTTCTTCATTCGTACTCATACACTGGATAGATAACCTAGAGGCAATTTCTAAATAGATCCACGAATAGCTCTTACGTACTGATTGGAAGGAACCTCAACTAAGCCACTGCTCACGCGCCAGCTCATATAATTCATTCTTGGCCGAGGAATTCAGTTCCGAACTCATGCCCAGATCGTACCAATTACCATAGGCTGACTGGTCGGACCACGGTCTGGGCAAGAGTTTGTGGCTGCTTTTTTCGACTATACTCGAATTTATTAGACGACGTTTGAGCGAAGGCTCGAACAAAACTCTATTGTATATCTGCTCCCACATTTTTCAAAAAAAAAAGAAAAAAGAAAAAAGAAATCATGGCGAAAGAAGGGATCTGAGCAGTTCGATCTCACATTGGCCCCAGCAAACGTCTCTCATAAACTACAGTGTATCTAACGACGCAATACCGCGATCAAACTGCTTTAATCCACATGGTTCTTGAACTAGGCATGAGATCCAATGAAAACGTTTGATTGAATTTTTGCATGTCATTAGGTTCCAGATGTCATTCATTCAGCTTTCGCACAGCTGCTGGAAACGGCTAGACGGAGCGCTTCACCACTCAAAAAGATGCAATTTAAAGAATTCAGGAGCCTAATCTTCTTCTGATCTCGCTACCTATGGCACCTACAAAGAAACACAGAGGCTGAACTTTGCCCAAGACAGGTTATCGACTACTTCTCCGTCATTTTCTAATGTATATAGACAGAAAGCCATGCTGGAGCACAGCGGGACACTCGATGACAAATAAAAAACATCACATGACCAGTACGTTGATCGTAACAAAACACACATTGTATTGTTCTTATGCGACTAGACAACCTCGAAGACGAAACTGAAAATTATTTCTTGGGGGAAAAATGATTAATGGATTTTAGGCGTTCCTAGGCGTTCGCCTACGATGTTCAACTTAGGCAAAACTATGAATTTCTGATGGAACTAATTTTTCGAGATAGTTTGAACAGCTGAGCAAATTTTGTTCTTCCCGACTCACCTCTGCTCTTTCCATCAGCTTCCCTTAGCACAGTGCATTCTTCAATGTGACCAAATTTGGCGAAATAATTGCGAATATCATCCTCATTATGTTTTTTCGATAGCTGGCCAATGAACAGCTTCCTCTCTGAATAATTCGCTTAGCTCAATGTCTATGCTGCTAGAAACCACAAGGATCAAACTTACCATTTCTATTCTCCGTATCAGCCGGTTTCATCTGAACGGGGTGATGCATACCATCAATGATTTCTATGTTATGCAAAGCGCTTTGAGCTGCGATTGCGTCCTTTCGATGATAAAATGTGACGAAGCAACAGCCTAAAAAATGACTGATATCCGACAAATTTGAGAGCTGAATGTTTGCCTTACGATAAAAGCAAAGGACACATTGCACGCTTCAAGAAAAGATACGTTACAAACCTCTGCTGACTTGTGTCTGGCGATCTCGTAGGATGTTCAGTGAGAATACTGGACCGTACTTCTCGAAAAGTTTCCGACAATCAGGCTCATTCCAGTGGCGTGGAATCTATAAAACAGTAATAAAGAATGAGGAGGTGCGAATTCCTCGAAAGATAGGGACAGCTGTGCCAATGATTCTGCTTTTCTTCCTCGTTCAATACCCCACTTACCCAGCTAATCCTTCCCATTCCATTCCTCCTTCCCCCCCCCCCCCCCTCCCGCTCTCCCGCCTCTATATGTAATGGAGTCAGAATGGGTTAGTTTAGAGGGATTGCAAAATCGTAACTGAAATGTTGTTCAAGAACGTGGCAGAAATTGCAACATTAAACCTTCGCCCATTACCGTACCCTTGCGAGCAGACCAAACGATATTTTCGGGTACGGTGAGAAGTACTGTCTGGGATGGATTTTGAAGCTGAATTTCTCTGCCATGAGCAAATCATATCAGCAGCCACTTGCCAAATTTTGGCATTGCAGCGATTTTGCAAACTTTAAGCAGGCTGTACATTTTTTTCTCTAGCTCTCCCCACCCCCCTCCCTCCTCTCATTCGTCGCTTGGTCCCTTATTTTCATCGATAAGCAGAAGACAGTTGCGCATTCTCAGCACACGATGACAGCGTGGGAAAGTTGGAGATGGATTATGCGCAGCTTAGGCATAGCCTCTGGCAATTTCCTACTGTATGCTGAGCCCACTAGTCAACTCAAAACCACAAAAACTTGTTCATCATTCATTGACAGGAGCACAGAGATCCTCAAGGCTGTATTAATAATCTGCAATTATTTCTGGGTTCAACCATCACATCCCCAACAATTTCCAGCTTATCCACGCCTGGACCACTTCGTATTTGCGAATATCCTCCGACGGATGAATTCGCTCATAACAAAGCGTTCCAGAAATCCTAAGCAAAGCAATACGCGGGGTGTGATGGCGAAGAGCTTGACCTCAATCGCACATACGACGGGTCCAGCTCCGGCTACTAGTCCCACCACCGACCGTATCGTCATCGTTCGAAAGGAATGCCAACCGGCCTCCACAGCCCCGTTCAACTCCTATTCTCTTGACCTCGTTCTGATAGAGGTCGGCCTATCTCGCTGCGCGCTATCGCATCTCATTCATTCGTCTATTCGATATCAGACGAAGAATGTATGACATATGGCTGCTGGCTGCAATCATCAGTTCTTCAAATGTCAATCAGCAAAATGCAAGGAACGAGGCTACCTAGAAAACCAAAACATATGTGCACCAATCTTCTAAATGGAGTTCCGCTGGCACGACTTTTACTGAGATTTAGTCTTCAAGGCCATCCAGCGGAAGTTTCCATCAATCATTCATGAAACCAGTGCAGAGAGATGCCATCAGCATCTCATAATGTGCACCGCCTTTTCCAGCTCCGTAATCATATTAAAAAGATAACCTGATTCAAAGACATAACTAGCTTCAGAAAAATCTTGAACAATGACAAATTATGAACCCGATCAGAACCTTGAATAAGCCGTCACCTAGACGACATCATATATGATTCATTTATCGCGAAGAGATTCAATGTTGAACCTCAACCCGGACCGTATCCCTACCGTACCCAAGAACGCTGATTGGTCCGTTCGAAGAGGGATTGGTGCAGAGCGAAAGTTCAGAGTTGAGATTCTCGGCCACGAATGAATCGTATGAACTGTTGCTTGAGCAATAGCTCGGCTAAGGCTCCTCAGTTCGTATAACATGAACCTCGTACCTAAATCCCCCTAAACGCTGCTTTCAGTGCCATCGCTTATTATGACATCGAAAAAGGTGCCAAATATCACACCTACTTGCCTATTTGTTTGCATTAATTCATTCCCACATCCACGTCATCATCACAATGGAATGCAAGCTGATTTGACAGATACATTGGTGAAAGAAAAAAACGACCAATGGAATTCGTACAAGACCAGTCTTCTGTCATGAATTAAGGCATTCGGCCGTCAAAAGCGCAACAATCATTTGATTATCTTGTCCTAGAACTGGAATCGATCGCGAAGAAATCGTACGCATCACCATTACATTGATTCGTAAGAGAAGAAAGGAAAAAAGAAGGAGTTGCTAGACTTCATTCCATTTCACTTAATCATAGAGCCTCCCCGCAGCAAAGTCTGCCCCATCCTTACCTAGCTGCCACAAAGACATTTTTAACCCACGATTTGTCCCCTTGCATCACCCAAGCTAGCTAAAACAGAAAAAAGTTGTCATACCTGTCCAACAAACATTTTTATCGTATCCGGATCTGGATCAAGTTGTGTGCTGGCTGTTGCCGTCGGTGTTTCCGTAGCCGTTGTGGCGTTTTCTTCGCCCATTGTTATATCTGAAATTCACAAAAAATAAGATACAGTAGCCAGACAGCCATCACAAAGAAAAACAAACGACACTCATTCATAACGACAAAAGGTATATTGTAGGCAAACAGCTGACACCTTTTAGCCATCGTAGTGACTGACTACAATTTCGTAGCCATTACAACGGGGCTGGCGTAAGGAACGCAATTTCGCCCCTTGCATATCAATAACGGGAGAAATGAAGCAAATCGCAGGCAATGTTGTCGATAACAGTGATAAGATGAGAGAGTCCCCCTTTCACAGATGGTTTAGATAAAATGTGTTGATGGATGGGAATTTTGCGACATCTGACAAGAGACGCAACTATTGAAAATCTCAAAGGTTTGCACGTATCACGACGAAAACAGAGCAAAATGAAGTCTTTTACGAAGACACATTAGCACAAGCTCTAGCTTAACCTTCTTCTACATATCTAAACTAGGCGCAAAGCGAATGAGGAGCCCTTTGAAGCAGGTTGTGAAGGTGGATGTGACAGAAAAGAACATGGAAGTGCTCTAAAAAACTCACACTTCCGACGGAGTAGAAAACACACTGAAGCATTAGACAAGTTTTGCACTCAAACCCTGTCATGAAAAGGCCATGCAGGCGGAAACGAGGAGTTCCATTTAGGAAACATAGAGTGATGTGAGGAGGATGGGAAGGATGAAAGAAAATGTGGAGATAAAGAAACTAGCTGCCAGTTCTCGACTTCTAAACTTAGCAAAAATATAAATGAACCTGAACTGAGTAGAGACTTGTAGAAAAGGTTCCACATATACTTAGACCCAGACAACTCGTCCAAAATACGAAAGTAAAAGGTTCCCTATCGTTGATACCTAACTGATAACAACGCTAGCGATAGCATTACCAACTTCGGCTTCCAATGCTTTGTTGTAAACATTCTTGTTTGAATAACCTCCCATCCCCCCTTCTCCTTTACCTTTTCAGACGCTCCTTCACTAGCTACAAATTCTTCACAAGAAACTTCTGGTTCAATTGAAACTCCAAGGAAACCTTGACGGACGGCGCAGAAATACGGACAAGTGTTGAAAGGTCGTTCGAAAACGGATGGGGCAACTTGAGAAGTGGATTTGCTCGGCATTGACAAATGAGCGAGACACGGACTCAAATGCACTGATGAAATCGAATCGCAACAAATGCGATCCAAGTCAGCTAAGCGAAAAGAGGTGAGAGCGACAATGGAGAGATGAGGGGGGGAGGGGGCAGAGTTAGCTAGCCTCACTTCCCCCACACTAACTCCCAAGAAAGTGTCTCTAACAGGGTAACTTCGACACGATAGCCGAGGGTAGCCGGTCGTATAAATGTTCTGTCGTTTAGGAGAAAGGAACGAACGCCATTACTACAGACTGAACGAACGTGAAGAGATGGGCGGTACGGCCGTCTTCTTACAACGCTCTCCGCACAACATTCGGACGCAGCAACAGCGATCTTAGCGCCGAAGGATCCGGACAAATGCTCTATCTCAGGCATCATATATGTAGGAATTGATGAGGATGATACATAGCAGAATAGAATATGAGAAAATGAGAGATGCGAAATTGCTGAGGAGGAAAATTGCCTATTGACAAGTTCTATAAACTAGTGAAATGGCATGGAAAAACTTGAAGGTTAGCAATTTTAAGAGCGCAATACCTTTGCGTATATCTTTCAGAGAACTTTTCCAAATGAAAGGGCTTTGGAGGATTTTTCCGGAAGAAAGTATACCAGAAAGCCGGGTTTCAAAAAAGTGTCCAAAATTATACCTGGACTTCTTATGGAGTCATTACTCAAGCGGCAGCTCATATAAATCGTTCGTAACCAAGTTAAACTCTAAATTCTCGCCCAGTACCACCAAAGACGCCTTTGGTCAGCTGGAGTACTGTACCGGCTGTACCGGGCGGGAGTTCAAAGTTGATTTTTCTAGGCCGCGAACGAATCATATGAGCTTTTGTTTAGGTGGTGGATTGGTTGAGAATTCCTCATCTTTCAAAAGCCCAAGTACTCAAATTTGCCCGGACATCATACAAGAAGGTTTTTGAAGAAGCATTATTGAGGAGAAATCTACTAATCGATTGAAGACTGAATACGTAGAGTGAAAGGGGGCAGAAGAATGTTTGAAGTAAAAGTACAAAATCAGGTTGTTTCCTAATAAAGCACAAAAACACAGGTCTTCTTGGAAAGTACTTGCGTTGAATGAAACATCATTACGCGAATCAAGTAACATACACACTGGCAATGTATATGACTGCCCCACACATTCGGGGTTTTGCCGAGCTAATTTCTAGGATCAGAGCAGATTAAATGCGCAATAAATCAAAACATGGCATGCCTGAAAGAAGCAATTCATATGACAGCGCTGCCAGCAGTCATAAACATGTGACGGAATGGAAGACAAGGAAGAACTTAATTAGATTCGAAATCAAAAGAGAGTGTTTCACGTTTACGATCGTTCATAAGAAGTTTACTGGGAGGTTTGGAGGACTACTCAATGAAATATGAAGGATGCTCGAAAGCAATCTTGCAGATGATGACGGAAAACACAACTCGAACGTGGAGGCAAGTAGAAGAAAAAGCTAGAAAGGGGGTCCCAAGAAAAACAGGGGCGTGACAAGCAAGTCAGACTCCTCCTTACCGCCTTTCAACTATGCACTTTCTGCTATTTTGCATAAGCTTTGCTGATTATTCTCTACCCCAAGTCTTACTGGAATAACAAAGCTACAACTGTCTCAGATTTCCTTCAGCATTACATTATAAATAAGCCGACACCTGACAAACATAATACGGTCGTTGTAAAGCAATGATCACCTCATAGTGACGCTAGAAAATGTAACGATTTGTGACGAAGATTTACGACAGGAAAAAGTAAACGCCAAATTTAGATCGGTAAAACGGTACAAAAAACATCAAGCCTTTCACGCCTACGCTCGCGATGCACACATTTGCAGTTCCTCATATCGGCATCGTCAAACCTCTAATTAATTCTACGAAGCCATCAACTTGGAAATGAAAAACGGGCAGAGAAGAAAAACGGTGAAACCATAACTTGTACATGTAGAGTATTTTCCAGCCTCTGTCGCATTGAAACGGGACTTGAAGTCAAAAACTGCCTCAAAAAAACTGTGGTTATTATCTCAAGATATATTATTGGTTGAGCTTTGGTGCATACTAAGGTTATTTTTATCCCAGGCTGCGTCCAGAGTTGCCCGTGCCGGAGCCATGCCAGAGCAGTGCTAGCACCGTGCCGGAGCATCGCCTGACCCTACGGCTTACGTGCAAGTAATCCGGCAAGGCTCTGGCACGGTGTTACAAAAAGTTCCGGCCCACGGGAAACATTGAACGCCGCCTCAAAAACAAGGGGGCTGTTGATAATCCTATCAAGTTTTTTGGCAATGACCTTTAATGAGATAATTTGTCACCAATTTATGTAACTGCCAACGACTATTCAATTTATGTAGCTGCCAATGACTATTACTAAAATTATCAACGATGTGATATCTAGCAGCTGCTAATGAACGACAATCGAGACACTACTGGCAGCTGTCAGACAGTATGGTCCCTCACCTACATCCGGTTGAAAAAGTCTCGAGATATGCGGCACCTTTCGCACTTCTGATCGTGCTAAAGTGATAACTATTATCACAAATTCATTATAGTGATAGTCGAATATCTCTATCATCATTTGCCCCTCTCCAGCTGTCAGAATGGCTTGGCACTCACGGCCAGAAAAAGAAATACTGCGGCTCTTATGAGAAAAGTCATCACCAATCTTGGATCAATGCTCGCCGTCTAACATCGGAAATTGAGCAGAAGTTCAAAAACTGCCATACGAACATTTCGGAAGGGAAATTATAGAGTTCAGAAGTACACTCTGCAGAAGATTAGTCACCAGCAGGGCAATTTTACAGCAAATTTTTTCGAGCCGTTTTTTGTATTTCCTAGGTGTACGGAATGGCTGAAGAAGTACAATCCTTACAATCGAATTTTACGACCACGCTTCGATGTTTTCCTAGAAGAAGAGGCCCTACTTTGCTGGATAGCCTGGTCTGCACTTTTCAACATCGAAAAACACAATTTATTCGGGAGCGTCTCCATGTTCTTCTAAGAGCTTCAAGTTCTTAATAGCCTAATGTCACGAAAGGCGCCCCGATGACAATATGTTCGAGCTTGCACCACATCGCGACCAGTTTACGCTATATAGCTGACTGATAATTGTTTTGTGATCGGTTCCATAGTCTTAGTGGTAGAAATGCGAGCTGGGCGAGAAATCCAATTAACTACCAAGCCGATCTAAGTCTTGGGAATGTAGGCGCATAACGATGGCGGCAACAAATTGCAGGTGGAAGTGGCAGCGCCCAGATTGCATTGAGAATATGCGGAATACTGGAACTCAGTAAAACCTAGGGACCATCTCTCAAAAGCAAAAAATTCTTGGATGAATAGAATTGGGTAAAGAAAAGATTTCTCGAAATTCCCCTTAAAATCAGCACTGAACTGACGCTGACAAAGAGATGATTTATTGCAGAGATAAAACGCGTTTCAAGGCAAAAGAAAAAAGCGGCACATGGTACATTTTTGAAATTTTCAACCTTTGATGAAGCTTTAAATAGGGACAAATGCAGAATTTGGTTCTGTTAATATTGAAGTGCGTTATGTGTCCTTGAAAATATTTGCACTAATTCTGAAAGTTTACCTAGGACACGCACAGACTACTCCAATGCTTAAACTATTAACAAGTTATTATGAACCTATTACTATAATAACTATCAGTTCCAGAGATTTTGCTATAAAAAGCTATTTCATGATTAACGTCTACTGTTAGAAACATAGATATAGTCGTCCTCCCCCCACTAGACACCTAGTGGATGGATTCGAATCTGAACTAGAGCACGCCGATTGCGGCAGAGCGCGGCATTGTCAACTCCAGTTCAACCTCATCCAATATTCTCTGGTGTTTCTTCGTCGTTGCATGGTGATTTTTTGTTTCAATGATGTTTGTAATCAAAATCGACGAAATTGTTGCTGCTTAGCGATGTTTCGTGCTACTATGCTTCGGTTTTTATTTCAGCTAAACTTGAAATCAGAATTCAAATAACGAGCATAGTAGAGGAAACATCACTCAAGACTAACAAAGTCTACAATCCAGTTAAGAAGACTGCTAACATTCAAAAATAGGATGAAACGTTCCGAAAACACAAAAACGTCTGTTTGAGATCAAAGTGAGGGCTGCAGGTACCGCGCTCTGCCGCAAACGGCTTGCTTTACTTGAAATTCGAATTCGTCCACTAGGTGTCTAGTGGGGGGAGGACGACTATAACTAAAGTTGTTTTTTGATGCTTCGGCATAAAAACAACATAAACTACTCTTCAAAGTGGGCTTAACAAACCAAAATGTTTCTGACGGCAAGAATTTGGAGTTGATACAAATAATCCCTTCGAGTCCCATAGCAGGATTAAGAAAAACGATACTCCTTCGCATAAACCAAACCAATGAGCCAAACACATGATACACCCCCTCCCCCTGCAGTTTTGCCCTTCTCAAGATAAAAAATTGACTGCTATAAAATCGATGAATAATTCGAAAAGAAATCGCACCCAGGCAAAATGGCTTTACAACACAGGAGCTGCCGTGACGACGACGAACGATCGAATGGCGAGAGAGAAATCGACAAGCAAAATGCCCAACAGGTGATAAGCGTCTTGCGATAAGCGGAATACATGTTGGCACTTGTTCTTACAAGGCAACAGACTTGTTCATGCATGTGAACAATCGATAAGTAGCAAGGAGATGCAAAACTTCGTAAGTTTATGTATGCTGCTTTCCATAGAAACTGGATGCGAAAGCTAAAAGCTTAATCAAATTAGTAGAAAACAAGCTCTTCAAATTAACGCTACCTAGGCGCTATCCTACAAAAATTAGTGTATCCCCACATAAAAGACAAATATGTGGAAAAAAGAATTAGAAAAACCTAGCCGAATTATGTTTTCCACACATTGTCAGAGGTCAGTTTTGCGGTCCCATATGTCAAAAAAATCATTATGCATTAGAAACTTGGCATCGATAATACTTAGATCGATAGCGCAATGAAAACTTCAAACAATTAGGATGATATGGCCAAGAATTACTAATTTCTAGAAAACGGTTTCGAAGAGCTGCAAAGGTCTGACAGGGAAGGATACTTGATCGAAGTGGCCTTTTCATATGAAATGTAGACTATCTCATAGAACATGGAACGCTGATTCCAAATATGCTTTCATTATCTGCACAGCGATTCTGGGAGGGGTGCAACGGAAATTTTTTGAGGTAAAATTCAATGATTTGGCTAAGGTAAAAAAAGGCTTTGAGTTTTTTCATGCGCTTGAAAGAACTAATGATTGGCATGAGTTTATTAGACTGAAGGTACTATTGCCTAAAGCGTCTTGGTAGTAATCATTGCCTTATTTGAGCTCACGGACTAAAGTTATGGATGGTTTTATTGTAACGGGGCTTTCAAATCTTTGCATTAAGAGATTTTCATAACTCTCCTCCCAGAAGCGCTTTGCAGATATCGAAAGCAGGTATGAAATGAGCGTTCCATTCTCTATAAAATATAGTACATGTTATATGGAAACGCCACTTCGACCAGGTATCCTTTTCTTGTGAGAAGGGAGAGATGGAGAGAAAGGAAGAAAGGAAAGGCTCTCCAGACCCATGAAATCTCACATATCGACGATAAGTGCTACTATAAAGTATAAACTACTCAGAAAACAGCTACTGACAACGAGATGCTTGGCTCACATGCTTGCATTAATCTTCGGAGCTAGTGAGAGAAATATCTGATTGGTCTCCAGACAAAAAGAATTTCGTATTCACAACTAGAGTATCCGGACATTCGATGAACATAACATTTACGGAACCCCAATTTCACGAAGTGATAGGGAGAATTTACATAAAAGGACGAAACGCTGCTGCTACAGCAGACCTCACAAGATGCCGAAGACGTCGGGATTCGTAATATTCTCTAGCATGGCAGATGAATACTGCTGCATAGAAATATGCACAAAAGAAGCGGAAGACGGCTTGCGCAAGCGCGTCGGATAGAAAGACGAAAGAAAACACGAAAACAACCCAGAAGACAATAGTGCGTTCAGTAGAAGCAGCTGCATCGTGGAAGACCCTTCGAAAACCTAAAAAAAATTCTTGCGAGCAGAAGTGCAGCGCTTATCGGATTTGTATAGAGCACATGCTTTCAGTATATTGCAGCTGTTCATACATAGCTAACGCTATAGTGTGCAAATCCATAGCGTATGATTTACGATAGAAAAAAAGGATAATCCAATGGGAATAATCCTGTCATATGAATAGGATCACGAAAAAAGATCTATGGTTGTGACAATGGCGAAAACGCAAAAGTAGAACCTAGGTCAGATAGGACGCCCACACAATAGTGAGAAGAAGAACAAAGAAAGGTGATTATATTTTCAGGAACTTCTGGTTATGCATACTTGCCAAGCAGTTCCGTTGGAGAAAATCGTGAAAGCTAAACCATAAAATGAAAAAATTAAAAGGACTGCTGTAAGTAGAAATTATTTGAAGTAGAGAAAAGTAAGCTTCCTGAAAAATGCAAATAACGCATTTTCCAAGATGAGTTGACTGGGGAGGGGGGGGGGGCGCATATACTCTTTCTTGTCCTCTTTTCTTGGTTTACTTTATAGTTTACTAAGTCCCTGGGAAAAGAAAAAAAAACTGTAGGCCATGCTACCATCTTGATAGGCAGAGACTACATGTCGCCGAAATGTGGAAGGGTCCCGCGAGGACATTGCGGCATATATTCAGCCTGTGCATGTGGAATGTGTATTTGTTGCAGTTGTACGGTGGGATCCTCCTACTTTCGGCGACGTATGATCCCCTACCCCGTCTTGATAGGTGCCAACTCCGCGGACTACGGATCCAACGGCACGGATGTACGGGAGGATCTTTAATCCATGAAGGAATGTTTACAGATGAATTCGTCATAAAAAAGATTCTATTTAACAAATTTTTAAACATAAAAAGCCAGTTTTCCGACATTCCTGGTGGAGAAAAAGGGAAAAGGGAAAAAAGGGGGTGGGAGGAGAAAGAGGTACGCTTGAGTTGCTATACTGTTAATGTGCACTCATTACCATAAATGACCGTCCTAATGAGAAATGGCGTGTATCACTTCTCCCCTCCCTCCTCCCCGTCGTAGCCTATATGGTAATTTCAATAGATTGTTCCTTTAGCGAAGATCAGAGAATAATGAGCTGCCCTTTTCAATAAGAGGTTTTCGTCAAAAATAGAAAAGGTTAATTTGACGGTACGATGTAAATGTATCGTGTGATTCGTGTGCAGCTCACAATTCAATGATCAGACTTCCCAAATGAAGATGACAATCCTATCATGATGTTGTGCATTTACACAAATCCTAGCAATTACGCGAAAAGCCAGCATCAGCAAAACAAATTTCGATGCTGTTTGAACCAGAGCATTAGCTTCGTTGTGCGATACCAATCTCAGAGATGTTTATGTGAGGAGAATCCATGCTCCCTGCAACAATGTTTACAGCTCCAGAGCTCTGCCAAAACGAGGTTAGCACGAGCGCAGCGGGTGCTCGATAGGTAGGGTAATGGCATTTGAGAGAGGCAATTATTACCCCCCATAACAGACATTATATCGATCGTAAGCTGCAGTGTAATAAAAGCTCCAATGAGCAGCTGTGGATTTGTGACTTTGTGCCATTTTCTTGGCTTTTCATAAATGACAGTGGGGAGAATGTTGTATAATCTTAGTTTCAATAGCTAATCTGAACAAAATCCAGTAAACCCCGTTCTGAGATAAATGCAAGGGGAAGTCATTTACGTAGTCATCGCACACAATCCGCATTTCAAATTTGGCGCCATTACTCTATGATGATTGACTTCGCGCTCTATAGCCAACGACATCACAAGCGCGATGAATATTAGCTTGAAAAAGGTTTTCCATAGTCACTTTAAAAAATGAAGAGTCGCAAAACTGCAGGTATAAGCAAGATAACGAATTCTGCACAATCAGTGTAAGGAAAGGAATTTGGTGACGACACGAAACGACATTGAGCCGAAAAGTCGAATTTTCTGATAAGATCAACAAGAATGACAGATGGAGGGTGTGGTTCTGCTGCGCCCTATAGCGAAAACAGAGTCATGATTACGGCGTCTGGGGAATCGCGAGTAACGCGGGAGAAGATTCAAAAGGATTGGGTGGTCTTAGATTTACTACAAGATAGCATGGATAGCATGGATCTACCCAAGTTCAGAGGTATTTGATGTTTCTGCAAACTGTTGCGAAAATTCCGCCAAGGTGTGGTGTGTAAACACGCAGAGCAGAAAAAAGTAATCAAACAGTGCCAAAGAAAAACAATGTGCAATCAAATGATGGTGTAATTCGCACACGATGTGTGTGAACAGCCGATTCTCCCCTAGGCAAAAACTGCTCCCACAGACATAACACATTTCTTAAGGATAAACAATAAACAATCTACCAGCAAGCATGAAAAACAAGACATGATATGCATCTGGGGAAGTTGGTGAGAATAGGGAAAAGCGGGCATCAACAAAAAACAGATGCTGGATCGAGAAAAAGGCGCGGAAAAAATGGCCAAAAAAGAAAATGGCAAAAAAATCCGAAAAGCTGGTTATTTGAGGAGTAACAGATGAGTCAATAAAGCTAAACTTAAAAAAAGAACTAGGAAAGCCAAGCCTGGAAGCTGCTACAAATGAGTCGCGTGACAGAAACCAAAAATGGACATGCCTTGACTAATCGCATTTACGTAACTGATTAAAACGATACTGCCTGAAAGATAAACATGATAAGCACACAAAATTATAGAGAAACAAGTACAATTGGTTAAAATACAAAAAAAAATACCCCGGAATAGCGCAAAAATCAGGAAGCACTTGACGTAAACTACGTGATCCGCGGCGCAAAAGCACCGAAACGGTCATGCAGAGTGCAGAGTAGCGGGAGGTAGGGGCTAGGGACGCAGAGGACATGAACGTGTCGGTGGGGTGGTCGGGGACAACAGGCGCGAGGCCAACGATAAACGACGATGGACGGACGACCAGTAGCAGCAGATGTGGCGATAAGATCGATCGATAGATATCGATCGGATCAGGTTTGAATCGATCGTATCTGTTTGTGGAGTGGAGCGAGTCTTATACGGCTAGTTAGTATGAAAAGACAGAAGGCAGCGGCCCCTCACGGCCCTGGGCTCCTCAGACGAACAGCTGTTGCCGTTGTGCTTAACCGCACAAGCGAATGTTTGTGTGTTTTTGAGGAGAAATAGCTGGATGCTCGATGTCTAAAAGGGCCCGAAGTGCCTGTTTTAGGGGCGCGGCATTGGCAAGCAACTGCTCAAGAAAACCGGCCCGCTGTATTCGTCTCGGCATCTAACCTCCAATTATTTCCACACACATCTACTGCCAACAGACAGAGTGAACAGCAATTGAGCGAATCGATAGCCACTTTGGCTAGTGAAGGTTTCTGCCGAAAGAAGGGAAACTTTCTGGGGAAGGAGGATAGCATCTTCGTTGAAATGGGAATTTCTGTGTTCCGACAAACCGCCAGAAAGTTGAACTGTGGTCAAAATATGCAAATCACATCGACGCCATAACACAATCATCAAGATCATCGCTTTGTCGTCTGCGTATCTGCTGCCCGCGTTATCTCTCTGGGATCCATAGGCGCCAAAGCCGCGCCGCTGATCATTACGTAGCGCGTACAGTGTTAATATAGCCATTTGAGCCTAGGAGTGTTTAGATCACTCACAGTAGTCCATGCCTAAATCATGTGCTTGAAGCAATAATCCTTTCCCAACATTTTATTTGAGTTTTGATGAAAAAGAGCTATGAAGTTTAATCATGCAACGATTTCTCCCCTATAATGGGCTTCTCTTTTTTGAAGCAGAACCATATAAAGGGTTTCTACTATCTGAAAAAGGTTCGAGAAGTTCCTCAGCTTTTTTTGTGGTTGAATAAAAGAAACCAAAAGAGACTCTCCCACATTCAAATTTACTTTTCTGTATTCAGATTTTTGTATGAATAAAAATGTGTGATTAGCATTGTTTAACTTTTGTTTCTTAAAATAACCAATAGCAGAATAAAACCTTTCGATAAATGCAACTCTCCAGATTGATAGCAAAAGCAGTTGTGTCACAAAGAAATGCAACGCCCAGAAGAGACTCTCCTACACTTAGTTTGTTTCTCAGTCAGATTTATTTTTGGGAACAAAAGTGCCTGAATACTTTCAATCACTGATTTTTTGTTTGAAATCCCAAAAGTACGATAATGAATGAACCTAATAAGAAAAAAAAAGGGGAGTGAAGTTTGAAGTGAAAAGTGTCCTTCTTGATGTCTCCTTATTGTAAAGAAATGAATGACTAAGCAAAATTATCAGGTCAATTTTTTTTTAATTTTGCGCTTATAGGGCAATAGATGCAGTCTCACAATCAGAATGCAGCTTCATGCAAATTTTTTCTCCTTGAGTAACGACCCTGTAACATTTGTGTGGTCTTAAAATGAGGGTGCTTGCAAGCACAACTTGTTCGGTTCTTCGCCTTTGCTTCTCTCTGCTCACAGCCTGGCCAATCGCAACCGATGTGCTGACCAATCAGAGGCAGGCCGTGAGGCGAGCGTAGTTTAGGCGCTAAGGTCGAGTCGTCTACCGTAAGTCTGTTGTTCCATCCACTATAAGTCTACAGCACCTCGCAGTTGTATATCGTAGTGAATATGCATCTGATCTGAATTAAAATTTAGGGTATGAACATAAACACTGCGCAAAGACTGGAGACAAATCAATTTCTCTAAAATTAGTCTTTTCGAGAATTTTAAATTTTTGGGATACCGTGGCGTTTTCGTTACAAATAAGAGGAAGTGAAAACTGCACTGTCAAGACAAGAACAACACAATTCGACGATCATTTGCACTACATTACACTAGTAATCTTGCGTCCCAAGATAATGGCCTGTGCTTATGCTAGCAAATAACAGCTAATAATACGAGCCCAGGACGCAATACTGCGTCCTTTGCGACAACGATTTCCTGTTTCTAAACGCGCTCGCGCGCACGTCGGCATTTGTTCGTAGTTTGCGCAGTGGACTGAACAAGAATAGAACTTGGTTGTCTAAAAAAAAATTGCAATCGGAGCGGTTTTGGAGATGAGCGCGTGCGAGAGCGAAATTAATTGTATGTGAGGAAACGCGGGAAGGGGAAAAAGTAAGAAGGAAAGGAAGAAATTTCAGTGCGTCACGGCATTGCCCTTCCTTTTATTTTTGGCAACGTTTGCAAAAAATTGTTCAATTAGGGCATCCTTAGGTTACTCTAGAGACGCTTTAGAAATGGAAATTCACTTGACCAAATTTGTAGTCTGGTATCAAGCACTTCTAAGTGGAAATCCCAAAAATCTAAACTGTTAAATGATTTTCGGAGTGAGGGAATTCTGAATTTCCCTTTTCTTTCGCTATTTAGTGTCCTATTTTTTGAGCATATCACTTACAGTTTGTTGAGCTGCAAGGATCACCGAATATGTGTGGAAGACCCGATTCCGAAAAATTTTATTCGAAAAAAACTGGATATGCCTCATCATTTTAGGTTGTCGGATGATTTCTATTTTTTTGTAAAATTCTGAAAAATTCAGGTAGCTTCATAGAATCTTCGAATTTGCGCGCTATGTAGGGCACGGCAGGGCGTATATTTACAACGATATGATTGTTGCCGCAAATGCACAAATAGCCAGCAAGTTTACGACAACTTTGCGAGCACATTCAAAATTGTCGTTCTTTTGTTGATTTTCTTCTCTGCGACTTGTATTTTTCCTGCGCTATAATTTCTAGAGCATATTTTTGCACTGTCTCTTGAATGCCAGCACTTTTATGCCACTAGCATGTCAAAAACGAGGAGTGAAAGATGAATCAAAAAAGTTAGAAAGTTAGAAAGTTAAAAGTTAGAAAGTTAAAGTTAGAAATTAAAATTAGAAATTTCTAATTTTGCGTGCATCGTGTAGGATGTGATATGGGAAGGTCGGAAGTAAATTTTTATTTTCAAAGAATGTTTATGTAGCTCCGTCAACACTCCTTGAACATGAGAATTTTCGAAAATCTTTCAAATGCCCAACAAGAACAGATAAGAACAGATAATATCCGATAACCTAATTTTTGGGGGAATTGGAGAGGATATTAGGAGAAGAGGAGGCAAGGACTTCGAAGAATGTCTATTGTCTCTTATTTGTAGGCAGCACTCCTCATGATTTTTTCGCTCATGTGAACCCGTCGCAACAGATCACAGTCGAAATGTGATAATGGCATCATGATGAAAAACCACAAGAAGAGATTCCACGTGGAAATTTTTTCGGAGCTCAGCGAATACATGCAGCTGATAAAGGCGGAACTTTGGACATAACTTGTGCAATTGTGCATCTTTGCAATGAAAGGTCCAAAATTTTGCTCTTATCAATATCATGAAGTCACTAATGACTGGGATAAAATGTTTCTTAAGTAAAAGCGTCCATCTAGTCCTTCGCGATCTCTGGAATGCTTTCCAATATTTGTGAGTGTTTGACACTTTTTTCACTGACAGTTTGGCAGTATGATGTTTTTGGGGTTAAAGGAACACTGAAGCGAAAAATGTGTTAAGTAGAGTGTAAACGTATGAAAACAAAGGTCACATTGCCCTGTCATTATTTTGCGCTAAATGAGCAATCTTATGTCGCGCCAGAACTCGGGCAATTTGAGAAAGAAAGCGCCGAGTAAGCGCAAATGCTCAGAATTTTCGTAAAAAGTAGTCAATCCATCCAGTGAAAGTAACGCACTAAGATTTCAGAATCATTTCTACTGAAATATGAAGGTAATTTTCTATGTTTTCTTCTTCAAACATATTTTTTAATGCAATCAATTTTTGCGAGCCAATCACAACATAAAAAGATGCAAAACTGCGATCGATCAACTTTTTGCAAACCATCTGTTCAATGTGTTTTCAACTGCCTCGTAAGATTTATTGTTCAGACGATCGGCGAGACGAGGAAACGAAATCGTATATACGTCTTGACGAAGCTACTTCACAAAAAAGAGGGAGAGTATTCAATTTCTCCTATAGTAGAAACCTACTGGAAATCGTTCTCACGACCAACTTCTCATGTAATAGTTGGACCTCGGCCATACCTCTTACAAGGAGAGAATACTTATATAGTCGAAAGCACCGATCCAGATGAAACATATATCTTCTTGAAGCGCTTGAAACGCTATTCCAAATTTATAGTTTCTAGTAGCGGAGCGGTTTTGTACGAGGAGTTATGAGGGTTGTTTCCTTCTGGGTTGATGAGCCCTCCAACAGGTCTTCCCTTTTCTATGAGCACTGTAGAAAAGTAACAACTGGTGGCAACTGGCCTCGTGGTATGCGACTTGTTTAAGAAGAGCGTCAAGGTTTCAATCCCTTTCGCATGCAACTTTATCGCAATTTGCAAACTTGAGCTTTTAAATGGCTTTAGAGCCCTAAAGCCTAAAATCTGATGATATTGATGCTAATCGAAATTAGAGCTTTTAGAAAACCAAAGTAATACGGGTATTGTAATCGTTATTGTAATCTTCATTCAAATCTTACCATTAGGCCGGTTGTCACCAGTTGGCACTTCTCTACAGTGCTCATAAATAAGGGGAGACCTGCTGGAGGGCGCTTCAGCCCCAGAGGGAAACATCCCTCATAACTCCTTCTACAAAACCGCTCCGCTGCTAAAAAACTACAGATTTGGAATCAGCGTTTTAAGCACTTTAAGTCGATATATGTCTCATCTAGACTGGTGCTTTCGACTAAGTATCCTCTCCCTGTTAGTTTCAGTCACGACGCAATCTGAATCTGCCAGAAGTGGTAGTAATTTGGTCGGACCATGCATGATGTGATGTAATCTGTTACATCGTGGTAACCATAATCATTTTCTGACTGCCTCTCGGTTCAAT